ATCTATAATTTTAATTAAAGCAATCTCTTTTTATCTTTTTACTCATCCTACTTTTTACTTTTCCATTTAAATTTAAAATTATTTTTTTTTCTTTTAATCAAAACATTTCTTAAAACTTCTATCATTTACTTTTTTCAACTTCTTTACAGACATGATTCATAAAATTAAAAAAAATGTGTGTAAGCAAGTTGCTTTTAAAATAACAATTTTAGCTATCTAATACATATTTAAAATAAAATGTGTAAATATCATCAAAAAACATTTGTTTTAAATTAAATATAAATAAATATAAACATTTTTTTAAAGAAATTCCACATACATAAATGTTTATATGTCTTTAAAACATTTTATATTATTTAAAATAACAAAATTTAATAATAATAAAAATATATATTTTTTTAAAAGGAAGGTATTTATCGGTATTCCGTATCGGTATTACGCTAACGAATACGGACGGTACGAAATTCTAATCTCTAGTTATTTGTATAAAGTATATTCATGGGTTTCAATTTTTAATTTAACAAAATTAAAGAATATTCTTTTCTATTTTCTAAAAATTTAAACTTTTTTTTATTTCCTTTATTTAAATAAACTTTTATTAAAATGTAGACTAATTTCGCCTATTGTTATTCTTGTTTATTTAAAGCCTTCTCTTATTTTCAATTTCAATCTTTTAAATTTTGTTCTCTTTTATATTTAAAAGAATTTATTTGAAATATTTCGACATTTTCTAATTAAAATATTCCCCCCCCCCTCTCATTTAACTAGAATTTTTTAAAAAGTTTTCTTTGGTTTTTTGCTTGTTTAAATTGACTTTTTTTCTTAAAAAAACTTTCTTCTTTCCATTTTTGACCCTTGACTTTCTTCAATTCATTCATCATTTATTTATTTATTTATTTATTGAACATAAAAGTCGTTTCTTTCTTTATTTTTAAATGTTCATTTTAAATAAAGATGAAGCATCTACACTAAAGTAGCTTTTGCTCTTTTTTACATAATATTTAATAATCCTTTTTCCTTTTTAAATCCTTGTTTTTATTGCAAAAGAGCAAAAATCATAAATTTATTAAAATTTTATTAGTTAAAAAATTTTTTTTAAATTTATTTTTACAAACTTGTACCTGCACTTTTAAACAACTTTACCTAATTAATTTTATTTATTTTTTAATTTTTCCCTTCTAACATTTTTTAAATTGCGCAACAAATTATTTTTAAAATTAAAGAATTTTTAAAAAATATCCTCCTCCCTCCAGTCATTTCCTCCTCTCCTTTCCTCTTTTCCCTTCCCCTCCAATCAATCCAGCAAACAAAATATTTATTCAATCTCTTCGATTAAATCCACAAATCGCCTTTTCCTTCTCCACAATTAAAATATCCCTCCCCCCCCAAAATCTTCTTTTATTTAACGCTGACCCAAAAATATTTTTTTCCTTTGATTGCGTGCTTTTTTGTCATTAATTTTCTCGGCGATAATTGAGTAGGTATATTAATTTATAAGTAAATAAATCTGTTTTTGTTTTAAAAATTCTGAGATTTTTTCTGTCCTTTTTTTAAACTTAATTTTCAAATTCTGAATATTTACATTATTAAGCAAGTCCAAACAACCCTAATTTAATTAAAAATATTATCCCTATTTAATTAAAATATATCCTTTTAATTTTTTTTAAATTTTCGTGTTTTTCTAACTTTTACTCCCTTTTCTGATCAAAAAATAAATTTATGTTTGACTGATTTTAGTAAAATTATATACTTTAATTTACTTTAATTTACTCTCCCTTTAACTCTTCTCAATTACATCGATCTAATTTATATCCACTTTTCTGTCCCGAATCATTTAAATTGATTCAGAGAGAAAGAAGAGATTTAAAGGAAGAAAAGCATATTTTTAACGATTTAAATGCATGACATAAAATGTGGAGGAGTGAAGGAAGTGAAAGAACAATTTTAAAATTTAAACAATAAATTTTTATATTGCTTAATACCCCTCCAATCGGCCTTAAATAAATACTTGCTTTTAAATGAAAATTTAAAAAAAATAATTTTATTTTTTTAATTTACAAAGAATTCTAAGCAAAACTCTTTCTATCCCTCACCATCCCACTATCAAACCAAAATTAAAATACAAAACAAATATTAATTAAGATATTAAAAAATATTTTTTCATCTTTTAAGGTGAGATTAATTTTTTAAATTAATCATTTAATTATTAAATCTTTTTGTATTAATCCCATTTCCTCCCCCTAATTCTATCAAAAATATTCATTATCTGATCATTTCCCAAATTGATTAAAATAAATATAAATTGCAACAAAAAAACTTCCAATCAGTCGATAAATTTAAATAAAAACTAGTTGTGCCCATTGGGGTATGGCGGTAAGTTCGTATGCAATTCTTATTAGGATACTCTGGCGGTAAAATTTTGCTCTGCCCGTTGGAAAGCCTAACGGCTTTGGGGCGCGCTTCGCGCGCTGCTAGAAACGGTAACATTTGCTCTGTCTCCGGGCCTTCGGCCCTCGCCGGTAAAGTTTAGCCCTCCATTTTCATCGCTTCGTGCCTTCGGCCCTCGCGATTCGTAATGGAATGGATCTTAAGCTCGGGCCTTCGGCCCTCGCGATTCATTTTGGGATGGATCTTAAGCTCGGGCCTTCGGCCCTCGCGATTCATTTTGGAATGGATCTTAAGCTCGGGCCTTCGGCCCTCGCGATTCGTTTTGGGATGGATCTTAAGCTCGGGCCTTCGGCCCTCGCGATTCATTTTGGAATGGATCTTAAGCTCGGGCCTTCGGCCCTCGCGATTCGTTTTGGGATGGATCTTAAGCTCGGGCCTTCGGCCCTCGCGATTCATTTTGGAATGGATCTTAAGCTCGGGCCTTCGGCCCTCGCGATTCGTTTTGGGATGGATCTTAAGCTCGGGCCTTCGGCCCTCACGATTCATTTTGGGATGGATCTTAAGCTCGGGCCTTCGGCACTCGCGAAACGTTTTGGGATGGATCTTAAGCTCGGGCCTTCGGCCCTCGCCATCAAAGTTTAGCACAGCCTTTTCATTGCTTCGGGACTTCGGCCCTCGCGATTCATTTTGGGATGGATCTTAAGCGGGGGCCTTCGGCCCCGCTACGTTTTTTTCATGGTCCACTCCTCAGCCTTCGGCCTCGGAGCGCTCGGGCCTTCGGCCCCCAAACCCCCACACCTAAAATTTTGATCGTTTGTAACTTTGTACAAAATGGTCAGAAAATTTTACAAAAAATATTTTTAAGCTTAGCTCGATGAGAGCTTTCGATTGATATAATATTTGGCCCTATATTTCGATTTTTTCAAAAAAATTTTTTCGGCCGAAAATTACGACCGAAAAATTTGCGCCATTTTTCAAAAATTCATAACTCGCCTAAAAGCGACCCTTTTGAAACATTTTAAAAGCTTAATATATAGTAAAAATTCTGCTCTATTTTATAAAAATATTTGTAACCACCCTCAGCCTCGATATACCACAGAAAATTTCAAAAAACCGAAAAATATTGAATTTTCAAAAAATCGACCCTACCAGGCCTCGGGTGAAATTTTTCAAAAATTTAAATAGCTAAAAAAATTTGTAATTTTTTTCTCTATTTTATAACGCTCAATTCGTTTGGCTACGACAAAAACTTGCAAAGTTATGCCCAATTTAAATTTCACCAAAAAATTTATAAAGGGGTACCCCTTCAAAAATGGGTCAAAAATTCGACCTCGAGAAAAATATGTTTTATGGTACTCCAATAGGTGCTGAACACGAATCTGAAGTCCGTTTATTTTTAAAAATTTTTTAAAAAAAGTTATAGTCAAAAAACCGGCCACTTTTTGCCCCAAAAATGCCACTTTTTGCCCTATAACTTTCCCAGACTCAAGTGTACCCCCAACAAAGTATATATTTTTAGAGGTTTCAAGGGACGCTCTACAAGATTGGATACTCAAATCGAGTTTCAATTCACGCGTTAAAAAGTCGGTTTTGCCGAGGTCGCTTTGGTGCCCATAACTATGTCAGGAAAAAATCCCAGACTCAAGTGTCCCCCAACAAAACTGTAGTACATTTAGTGCCCTAACATACTAAAAAAGAGTTGAGACCATTGGCCAAATCTTAAGCAATTTTATAATTACATTCGATGGGAGCCACCCTTCACGTTAGGGGTTTTGGACATTTTAGACTTTTGGCGTTTCATAACTTTGCCCAAAATGGTCAGAAAAAATTGGACCAAATTTTTTCAGACTCCCCACATGGAGCTCTATCGAATGGCACATAGTTTGAAAATTGTCGGTGAATTTCGTCGGACACCATGAGTCATTTTGTGACGAGATGTGCAATTTTTCCACGAGGCTACAGGTCGGAGAGTTGATCCGAGCCCTCCCAAATTTTTCCTACGATATATTACACATCCCAACTTAAAATCCTCCCAGCAAGCACTTTTTGATATCACTTCACCCCTCCGCGTTATTTCCATTTGAAAAACCACCCATGGCCGTTTCAGTGCGAAAACGACGTTTCAGTGCCGAGGTCAGATTTTTCCTGAATAGAGCGCAAAAAGTTGCAGGACAAATGTACCCTTCAAAAAATTCCAGCCGCCGGCCTTCGGCCGGCGGAATTTTTGAAAGGCATTTTACCCCCAAAAATAGGGGCAAGTTGGGGTTTTTTATATTATATTATAACAATTTTTGGTCATAAAAATTACAAAAAAAAAAACAAAAAAATTAAAAGGCTCGTTTCGCCCGCGCACTTCACAAAACAGCGCAACGTTCACATTTCTTTTAGTCCCTTTGCCGCCAATTCTTAGTCAGTTTAGTGTTTCACATCCCTAAATCGTCCACTCATCTTTTTCCTTTAAAACTTTTTTTATTGTATTTTTGGTGAGAATAAAAATATATTTTTAAATAATTTAAAAATATTTTTTTAAAAAAAAGAGGGGGGGGGGGGGAGGATTGTTTATGGGGGCGCGGAAATTAATAAAAATTTTTTAGATTAAAAAAATTAAAAAAATGTCAAAACCCCCAAAATTATTTTTTAAAACAAAATTAATTCTTTTTATTTTAATTAATTTATTAATTTCTAATAAATTATTTGCTGCAGAAAATGAGGGAGGGGAAATTAATAAAGAAGAAATTAATGAAAAAGAAGAAGAAGATAATATTTCTACTACACAAATTTCAACAACAACAATTACCACACCTATACCCAAAAATTAGTTTGGTGGTTTTATCAAAATAAATTTTTTAAATCCCCAAATCGACTAATTGACCCCCTAATTTCTAATTAAATATGTAAATATACATATTTAATTAGAAATTAAGAGGCAATTTGGGGATTTAAAAAATTTTAAAAACTAAGGGGCCAGGGAAGTTTGAAGGGGGAATACTACTATCTTTTACTCAAAACATTTATTTATTTAAAGTGTCGGCTCCTATTTGGTTATAGCTCCAAAAATTGTCAGATCAAGATTGCCATATGCTGTATCTGTTAATATTTTGAGAAGTTCAGAACCTGACCACATTGTTCGGGTTGAAATAAGGGATTCTAGAAATGAGACAATTGCGGCACGGGTTGTTAGTAATGTTAAAACAGGTAGGGGGGAGAAAGAAAAAAAAACAATTAAATAAAACAATTAAAAAGGTATTCCACAAACAATAACTGTTGATAGTCTTCCAGAGGAAGGTTTATTGACTGAAGAACAATATTCTGTTTATGTTAAAGCTGAAACTGTTAGTTTAATTTTAAAAAATATAATTAACATTTTCTTCTTCTCAATTAAAGATAGCTTCTCGTACAGTATTTGAAGATTCTGCCTCAATTCGTGCTAGTCAAAAAAGTATTAGTATTTTTGTGCAAACTGACAAAGCAATTTATAAACCTGGCTCTGATGGTGATTAATAAATAATTTATTTTTAATTTTAAGAATATAGAGAATTATAATTTCTATTAATAATATCTCGATTTCCGACCTTTCGGGGAGTTTTTAGTTTAGGTAAATTTTCTTACTTATTTGTTAGGTAACTTCCCAATTTAAAATTTAAAATAAAATTAATTTTTTTTCAATTTTTAGTTCATTACCGAGTAATTGTTGTAACCCCAGAATTGACTCCATATTCAGAACCAGTCAGTTTATATATCGAAGATCCAAACCAAAACAGAATTGTGGATACACCAAAAATTGAATTGAAAAAAGGGGTTCATTCTGGAGAATTAACCCTTTCAACTGAACCTCCTCTCGGAATTTGGCGGATTTTTGTTACTACAAAATCTGGACAAAAATTTAATAAAGAATTTACTGTTGAACGGTAAAATTTGAGGTTTTTAAAGGTTATTTGGAATAAAGAAAGGGATTATGAGAATAGAGATTGATGAGAATTTATATTTAAATTTTGAAGACACCCCCCCCCTTCCCCCACTTTTAACTTTCTTCAATAGCTTTCTCCTTCCCCCAAAAATACCCACCTATAATCACTCCATTTTCTAACTAAAAAATTTTTTTTCTAAAATTCTTTTTTTCAAGTTATGTTCTACCAAAATTCGAAGTAAATATCAAAACACCAACATATATAACAATTAACGATTCATTAGACGTCACAATAATAGCAAAATATACTTACGGAAATGGTGTTGCTGGGAAAGTCAAAATTCGTTTAGAATTGCCATTTCCTCGTTGGTCAATCCATTCTTTACAACACTCACCAAAATTAGAAAATGGGGGAATTGAAAAAACATTAAAATTAAATCCAATTGGAGAAACTTTTATTCATTTTGAGAATCAAGAATTGAGGGAAAGGAAATTAATTATGGATTATGGAGGGAGTACTTTAAGGTTAATTGCTGAAGTTGTTGAAGAATTAACTGAACAAACACGGAATAGTTCTGCACAGGTAGAGATGGGGATTTATAAATAGTTTTTGAAGAGGGGGGATAGGGTTAATTAAAATAAAAAAGAAATATTTTTTTGGGTATTTTTTAAAATATTAATTCTATGATTTTTCCACTTGTAAAATAATTTTAAAAATAATTTTCTTTCTTCTAAAAATATTTTTAAGTTAACAATATATGAATATGATGTTAAATTAGAATTAGAAAAACAAGGAGAAACATTTAAACCTGGATTGCCTTATTCTGTTGTTGTTGCTTTAAAACAAATGGATGATAGGTAGAAGGGAATTAAATAAAAAATATTATTTTTTAATTTAAAAGTCCAATAAAATCGTCCTTACCTCGACGTGTTCATTTAACAACATTTTATTTTTTCCTTTCAACAAGTACACAGGAAGAGAAGGAAGTTAAAATACTTGAATTAGATGCACACGGGACTGCTATAATGCAATTACTTGTTTGGAGAAAAAACTTTGAAAAAATTTTTTAAAAATTTATTTTAGCCTCCATTAAATTGCTCAAATTTCCGTGTCGAAGCCTCTTATGACCGTTCAGGACATGATAACTTTACAAATTCCCCAATTTATTCTTCTTTGTATGTTGAAGCTGCTAAAAGTCCTTCCCAGTCATTTTTACAAGTAAATGCTGATAATCAAGGAATTGTTGATGCTGGAAAAACACTTTCATTTAGTGTTAAATGTACAGAACCAATGACTTCTTCTTTAACATATCAAGTATTTTAAAAGAAAATTTTTTAATTTTTAATTCAAAAAAAGGTTGTTGCTCGAGGAATTGTTGTTTTAAGTGAACAAATAGCTTTTCCACAAGAAGGCCAAACTAATGCTATAATTAATTTTGAGGCTACACCACAAATGGCTCCAAAAGCAAGACTTGTAGTTTATGCAATTAGGTGAGGGAAGGGAGAGAGATTTGGGGAGTGGACATTAAAAAATAATTTTTTGGACAAATAACAGTAATTTATACTTCAAAGCATTTGAACATTTACAAAGAATTCTGTCCCATTTAAAAAACGAACTTTTTATGAAACGACCTAGTAAATCCTTTCTTTTGTCCTATTATATTCGGTTCGAAGCCAATATCAACCAACAAAACTCTTTTTGACATACTAAAAATTTCATATGTATACAAACACTAAACCACCTAAATATATTTAAATTAATTTTAGACCAAAAAACAAAGAAATAATTGTGGATGCAGTTGATTTTAAAGTTGAAGGACTTTTTAGAAATAATGTAACATTAACTAGTAATGTTAACCAAGCATCGCCTGGAGAGCCAATTAAGTTATCTGTCCACGCATCTCCAAATTCTTTTGTTGGTCTTTTAGCTATAGATCAATCTGTTTTGTTGTTAAAAAGTGGAAATGACTTAACTAAAGAATTGGTTGAACAAGATTTGGAAGAGTAAGAGAGATTATTTTTAATTAAAAATGGAGGGGGGCTGTTAAACTTTAATTATTTTCGAATAGAGAAATAAATATTTTTTGAATAAATTATAAATAATTTCAATTAATGGCCTGAAAATTAGATTCTTAATTTAAATAAAATCAGGCCTCTGACCTAAAAAACTAAAAAATAAATTAATTTAAAGATATGACACAACAAGCAGTGGAAACAGATTTTGGGGAGATTTTCGTAGGAAACGTCGTGCTAGGTGTTTTTTTTTTAATTTAAAAATGGTTATTCTTTTAAATTTTAGATCAATATGGTATCCATTTTGGGGTGTTGGTGGAAGGGATGCTAATTCTATATTTAAGGTGAGTTTAATAATGTTTTTAAATTAATTAAAAAATACTTCTCTTTAAAGAATTCTGGTTTAATTGTACTTACTGATGCTTTTCTTTACTCTGAACCTGAATCAAGTAATTTTTATTTTTAAAAAGGGTGGCGCTGACTTTTTTAAAAAATTCTAAAAATTTCCAATTTCCAAAAATTAATTTTTTATTTTTATTTGTTTCTGCACTCTATTCGTTTTTATTTTCGAAAATTTTTAATTGCTTTTTGGAAGCTAAAAATATTTTAAATTAAAAAAGCTTTTTTAAATTACAAAAAAACTTTTCTTTGCTTTTAACTTTCTTTCTCTTTTCTTTTCTTATTTTCTTTAAATTAATTAGTAATTCCGGAAGGCGTTATGTTTGCTTCAGGAATAAATCCAGCAGAAAGAGTAGATTTTGAAGAAGTCTCTAACAACAATAAATTAAAATCGACAACAATGCAAACAAGAAAAAACTTTCCAGAAACTTGGATTTGGACACAAGAAGATTTTGTTACGAGGTAATTAATTATATTTAATTGTTTTTTTAAACAAAAAAGCCTTTAAAAATTAAATTTAAATTTTTTCTATTCGTTGTTTTGTCTCCGATTTTTTGTTTTTTTATTGCTTTATTACACACAATTGTTGCTTTTTTATTGTATTTTTGTCCTCACTTTTTGCACTTTTTAAAATTGTGTCCAGGGAAATGGAAATCTAATTTCATTGCAAAATTTCGTTGGGATTGAAAAATATTTTAATTTTTTGAAAGAGAGAGAACCTTTTTGTATTTTTTTGTTAAGTTGGATTGTTTGGATATCCAGTTAGCGATGAAGGGTTTGTAATGGATGATGCTTCTGTTGAATCTGTAGCAGTTACTCCAAATAAAAATGTTTTAAAGCCTTCGGTGAGGAAAAGGTTTCCAGAGACCTGGATTTGGAGTGATATGTTAACAAGGTGTTTATAACAATTAATAAACAAAAATAAAGGAAAGGGTTGTCCATCCAACCATTATTTTAACCTTTAAAATTTAAAATAATTTTTGTTTATTTTTTGAAAAAATCTTTTTTTTATGTTCCTCTTTTTGTCTATTGTTTTTTGTGTTATTTTTTATTTAAATTTTATTGTTCCATTCTTCTGGACGCGCCACTTTTTTTGTATTTATTTATTATATAATTGTTAGTAATAATCTCTTAAGTATTGGTTGGTTATGCAATGCCTTTAAGCGGTCCAGTTTTATCTCATTCACGTTGGAAAAAGATGCGTTTCAGTTCAAATAAAATTTTCAAATCATCAGGTTTTGAACAAACTAAGAGAATTCGAAGTGAATTTCCCGAAACTTGGATTTGGACAGATTCTAGCTTCACAACAAAGTCTTGAGAGGGGATTTTCTTCTTATTTTTTTTTATTTTCCTTTAAATTTATTTTTAAATTTAAAAAAATATTTAATTTTATTTCACCTAATATATTTAATTTTTTAGTGAAAGTGGAGAAGCCGTTTATGAAACAACAGTACCAGATACTATAACCTCTTGGATTTGTTCAGCATTTGCAATTAATGAAGAAAATGGACTTGGAGTAAATTAAAGAGAGGAATAAATAATTTTAAATAAATTTTTTTAGCTAGCACCTTCACAACTTAAATTGCGCGTGTTTCGCCCATTTTTTCTTCGCTTGGAATTACCATATTCTGTAAAAAGAGGAGAGAAAATGGCTTTACAAGTGCTTATATTTAATTATTTGGAAACTGAACAAGAAGTGAGTTTAAATTACCTAAATATTATTCTGACAGTTTGTGTTTTTAACTCTTAAGATTTTTTAATATTCTTGCAATTTTTATAAAAACTTAATTAAATTTTTTTAATTATAAGAAACACAAAACCAAAATTAATAATTTTGTAGGGAAATTAATCTTAATTACCTCACAAAATCTTAATTAATTTTAAATTATTTCATAGGTAACAGTTACTTTAAAGCCAAATCCAGGCTTTGAACTACTTCAAAAAGACGGCTCACCATTAAGACCACCTCGGCAAGATTTAAAACAAAACAACGGAAATACCAAAACAAATACTGTTTTGTATAGTAGATCACTTTCTGTGCCTGGAGGGGGTGGCACTAGAGCTGTTTATTTTCCTTTAAAGTTTACTGAAATTGGACAGATACGTCTTTCCTTGCAAGGACGTGCTGAACAGGTACTTTTTTGGGAAATTGATTGCCTGTTTGTGGTCCCCGAAATTTCCTTAATCAATCTCTGGCCAGCATTTAAAATATACAACCAATCCAAATTAAACAATTCTTAATTTAAAAAGGCAAATGATGCAATTGAACAAACTTTGTTGGTCGAACCAGAAGGATATAGAGTTGATAGAAATATACCTTTAGTTATTGATCTAAGTCAAACAACAGAATTAACAACAACGACAGAAACAAATGAACAACAAAATATTCAAACACCCGAACTACAACAACAACAATCCCCACAATTTCATCAAATTTTAGAAATGGAATTCCCTGCTGATTATGTTACTGGCTCGAGGAAGGTAAAATATATTTTTGTGTAACTCCTTCAAAATAATGATAGGATAAACGACAAAATCGAAGCTTTGATCAAATTCTTAACGCCAAATAATCTGCGCCGAATTGTCCATTTCATTCCCCCCTATAAAGCCTAAACCTTTTGGCTTCAAGTTTTGAGTAAAAAGTTGAAGCCAAAAGGTATAGGTTTTGTGGGGGAAGCGGTCGAAGACAAATCGGCGCCGAGTATTTGGCGCCAATATTTTCTTTTCTATAATAAAAATCCTTTTTTAATATGATTTTTTATGTAATATGATTTTTTCCTTATCAATTAATAAATAGTCTCTATATTGTTAACTTTCGAGAATTTTTTTATAAGGTTTATCAGTCTTAAAAGTTTGCTAAAAATATAACGGCGCCAAGTCGTTTGCGTCAAAATGTCCTTTCAATCCAAAAGGTTTAGGCTTCTAAAGGTTTAGGATAAAAGTGGACATTTAGGCGCCGATAACTTGGCGCCGCCTATTCTTGGCTGACTTTGGTGGGTTACATCGAATTTAGCTTTGATCTAGTTATTTCATACAAATTTTGATCAAAGCTCTGTTTGGTTCCGTTTCTACTTCCGAAATAAATTGAAACTCAACTTTTGGAAAAAAAATTAAAAAATTATTTTAAAATTGGTCTTGGACTTGTTTAAAAAAATTTTTTTTTTAATTTTAAGGCTCGTTTTGAATTAATTGGAGATATAATGGGTCCTGTTTTAGCTAATCTTGATTCTCTTGTTCGAATGCCTTATGGTTGTGGTGAACAAAATATGGTTACGGTAATTTATTTGCTTAATTATTTCATAAATTTATTTTTGTTAGCTAGTTCCAAATATCGTTGTTTTGAGTTATTTACGAGCTACACAACGTTCAACTCCACAAATGGAATTAAAAATCAAAAAATATATGGAAACGGGATATCAGAGAGAATTAACCTATAGGTAGGTGTAGCAGGGATAGATTTTCTTCCGCTTCTGTCTGCGGCTTTTTTTTATTCCGCTTCCGCCTTCCACCTTTTAAAATTCAAAATTATTGAAATTATTTTTTAAATTTACTTTTTTAGACATTCTGATAATTCATTTTCTGCTTTTGGAGAGCATGATCCTCATGGCTCAACATGGTTAACTGCTTTTGTAGTTAGTTCGTTTAAGCAGGCACAAACGTTTATTTATGTTGACGATAAAGTTTTGGAGGTAAATTATGTAAAGAAAAATATTTCTTTTAATAATGAAAATTGAAATAAGAGGCAGAAAAGGTTTTGATGAAATAACAAAATGTTTTTTTAATTTTCTCTTAATATTTTTTAATTAGAAAATATTATTTAACACCTCCCCACTAAAATATATTTTTTATTTAAAGGATTCAATAGCCTTTTTAATTGCCCAACAACAAGAAAGTGGCGCTTTTATGGAGCGTGGGGAAGTTCTCCATAAAGCAATGCAGGGAGGGGCAGCTGAGGGTGGTTATTCTTTAACTGCTTATGTTTTGATTGTTTTATTACAAAATCATGTTCAAAATAAGTAAATTCTGAATTTGAATTTTTAATTAAAATATTTAATTTTTTAGAGTAACAGAAAAGGCTAAAATTTATTTGGAATCAAAATTGGAAGAACAAAAAGATAATTCTTATGCTTTAGCTGTAAGTATTCCCCCTGTATAAATTAAAAAAATATTTTTTAAAAGATTTCTTGTTATTCTTTACATTTGGCTAATAGTGAAAAGAAAACAGATTGTTTAAAATTATTAGAATTAAATAAAATTACTTCAAATGACGGAAATGTTCATTGGTCTGGAATTAAAAAAGAAAAGTCTTCTCAACAAAAAAGTAGTGGGCAACCTGTTGATATTGAAACTACCTCGTAAATTAACAAAATAAATATATTTTTTTAATTTTTTTAAAGTTATGCTTTATTAACTTATATGTTAATTGATGATAAAATAAAAGCTTTGCCAATTGTTAAATGGCTAACATCACAAAGAAATTCTCTCGGAGGGTTTTCTAGTACACAAGACACGGTAGAGGAAAATAATTGGGGGTTTTTTAAATCTTAATTTAAAGGTTATGGCTTTACAAGCTTTGGGGAAATATGCAGAACGTTCTTATGGGGCTGCTTTTAATGTAACAATAAAAATTCAGAATGGGGCTGATTCACATACTTTTAATATAAATCCACAAAATTCTTTGGTTTTACAAAGTTATGAAGTAAATTTGTTAATTTTTAAAAATATTTTAGAACTAAAAGAAATTCTGAAAGAAATATTTTTTTTGTAAAAAGTCCTCCCTAATCTTCAACTCTTTCCCTTCTTAATTTGATTATTTTTTTAAAAGTTGTCAAATTTGGATTCGCCAGTTGAAATTGAAGCTTTTGGTTCATCATTAGCATTTATTCAATTGCAATATTTTTATTATCGTTTGCCTTCACAAAAAGACGAATTATCTTTTTATTGTGAAAATGATTTAAAAGAACAAAGAAACGGCCAAAGACTTTTATTGGATTTGTGCTGTAATTATACACGTTCTGGGGGACGTTCAAATATGGCTGTAGCTGAAATACAAGCCTTGAGTGGATTTAAATTTGATGAAGAAGAAATTGGGAAATTAACTGGAATTGGGGATTTACAAAGAGTGGAATTGGAGAAGGATGATACTAAAGCTAATATTTATTTTAATTCTGTGAGTTTTTTTTGTTAAATATATAATTGGGCTAAAAATATGTTTATGGTAATTATGTAGGTATGTTTTTTTGTGTAAAAAGGGAATGTGGAGAGATACTTAGTTCATCATTAGCATTTATTTCAACATATGTATTATAATGTTGAAATTTATTTTTTTCCTTTTTTGCCCAATTTTTCTTAGGAAAAATTGGCTAGAGGTAATGGGGAGAGGGGGATGGTTAATTAATTATTATAGTGATGTGCTATTTTTCTATTTTAGAGAGAGGAGAGGGAAGCTCTTTTTAAAAATATTTAAATATTAATTTTAAATAAACCATTTTTCAGTTAAGTGATGTCCCTGTCTGTTTAACCCTTTCCAGTGATTTAGTTTATCAGGTATATTTTTAAGTATTTTTAAATAATTTTTATTTATAAAGGTAGCAGAACAAAAACCTGCACAATATTTACTCTACGACTATTACCAACCTGATTTACAATTAAAGTCGAGTTATGGAGGAAATCAGGCATTTAAATTTTCTTTAAAATTATTTCAAAATTCTCTTAGCAACAGCCAACAATCCGTTCCCTCGAAGATACTTGTTCAGAATGTTGGCCAGACCCCGCAGCATTACAATCATCTTCTACATCAACAAAAACTTCAAATAATTCAACAACTTCCTCGCCAGGTTTATTTTCAATGACTGCATTGTTGGCTTGTTTTTCTTCTTTGCTCACTTATATTTTTTGCTGTTATTGTTTTTGAATAAAAACTTTTAAATAAAAATATTTAACTACTCATTGCTCTCTCTTTTGCTGTGCTTTTATTTTTCTATTAAAATTTTTATTTTTAGCATTTCCGGTTCCCCCGATTTTCTTTAAAATTTAATTTATTTTTAAAATTTAATTTTGAAGAAAATTTTTTTTTAATTAAATAAAAATTAATATATTAAATTCTTTTTTTTTCTTGTTTTTATAATGAGGGTAGATAAGAATTTTTATTTTTTAAAACTTTCTTTATTCATTTTTTACTCGGCTCTCATTATCTTAGAATTTATACATATTTTAGGTCTCAACTTGCAATCTTTTTTAATAATAACTCTTTAAATGCTGGATTTTTTAAATTTAAATTTTTGATTTTTTAAAGAAATTAATTTAAATTTAATTTTCTTTAAAAAAAAGATTTCCCAGCATTTAATTAAAATTATTTAAAAAAATATTTTATCACACTTATTTCTAATTTGCTAATTTTGCCATTTTTAAACTTTGTATTTTTATTTTAAATATTTTTATTTGTTATGTATTTTATTTTTTAAGATTTCTTTTAAATACATATGCTAAAATAACATTTTTTTAATTTAAAAAATAAATTTTAAATATAACAGGTTTTTCTGTCTGCTTTTTGGTTAACAATTTAAATAATTAATTTATAAATTTTTTAAATTAATTTTTTTAAATTTTAGCAAAATAAATTGGGAACATCCATAACTTTATGGCAGAAGAGAAGAAATATAAAATACATATATATTTTTGTGAATAATTTTAAAAAATTATTTGAGTGAATTTAAGTTTATAATATATTTGTGGATTATTTGCATATACATATTTTGAAATTGAAATACATATTTAATATTTTTATGCAAACATAAATGTGCGAATTAAAATAAATTAATTTAAATTTTGTATGTAAAAATAAAACTGATTTTTAAAAATAAACTTTCTTGGTAAAAATTTAATGATAAAAGATTATAATTAAAATTTAGATTTTTTACATTCTCTATGGTATATAGCAGGGTTGCCGCGGGTACAAAAAATCTTCGGGTACGGGTTTCGGGTATCGGGTTGGAGCGTTTTCATTTCGGGTCACGGGTTTCGGGTTGGCAAAAATTTCGGGTTATTTTCGGGTGTTCGGGTATTAGTGAACTAAATTGTAAGGAGACAAGCTGTGTTGCTTACTAGGATATTGGGTGATATAGAGAGAGGCAAATTTGAAGAGATTAAAAAGACATTGTGGGATTTGGGGATTAATTGGGATATCTTGGTTAAAATCCTCCGCTTTATCTCCATTAATCCTCCAATTTTCTCCCATTTTCAGCGCACGCAGGCAAAAATTTTTGAAATTTTGGAAGACCGAGGAGCCAAATTTTCTCCATTTTTTGCGCCGCAGGCGAAAATTTTGAGAATTTTGGAAGACTAGGAAGCCTATTTTCTCCCGTTTTCAGCGCCGCAGGCGAAAAATCTGAGAATTTTGAAGACCAAGAAGCCAAATTTCTTCCATTTTTTGCGCCGCCGGCGAAAATTTTGCGAATTTTGTACGGTCTTAGGAGAAAAAATTCAATTGGCAGAACCGCAGGCAAAAAATTTTATTGAAGTTTAGTTGGTCATGAAGCCATAACTCTTAATTTTATGCGCCGCAGGCGAAAATTCTGCAAAATTCATGACTAAATTAAAATTTTTTATGCTTTTTCAAGCTTAAAATATTTTTAAAAAAATAAATTTAAAAATCTAAAATGAAAATCAAAGTTTAAAAACATTTATTTTTAAAAAGAAAAATTTTTTACGACTCATTTCCCGACCTGGGCTCGAACCAACCTCTATTAAAATATAGAGCCCGTCGCCTTAATATTTATAAAAAAATAAATATTCCTTTCCCTTTTCCTTTCTATAATTTTTTAAATTTATTTTAAAAAATCGGGTAAGGCTAAGTTTTCGGGTAGAAATTTCGGGTTTTAACCAATTTCGGGTCACGGGTTTCGGGTTGGAAAAAATATCGGGTACGGGTTTCGGGTTTCGGGTTGGAAAATTTTCAATTCGGGTATCGGGTTTCGGGTACAAAAAAAGGCCGGGTTTCGGGTATCGGGTTTCGGGTTTCGGGCGGCAACCCTGGTATATAGTACATATTCCTTGTTTTTTCCTATTTTTCGTGTTCCTCCAGATTTTTATTATTTAGATGTAAATAACAAAGAAACATTATTTAAATATTCTTTTTATAATTACTATTTTCCTCTCATTTGCTTTTTGCAAAAATGCCATAGCTATTTTATTCCATTCCTGACAGCCCCATTTATTCGAATTTTCCTTTTTCCTCTTTTATTTTATTTTATGTCCCAATGTGTATTGATCCGCACAATGTGGCTGGCTTTGTGTTGAGTTTATTTTGTGGTGGTTGTGAGGTCTTCTCAAATATTATATTTTTAGAGGTCTGTCCGAATCTCCGACCTCATCACATTTCTCGTTTATTTCCTGAGAGTATTTAATGTTTGTATTAAAGTTTTTATTTTTTTATTTATTTTCTGTCATCAACACTAACAAAAATAAAATACTTCGATTTAAATGCTGTTCTCTTTTACCTCATATTAAATCATTATTTTTGTTTTCCATTCATCAACGTTAAATTTAAAATAGAAAGATGATTCATACAAATATTTTGAAGCTTTATCTTTTATCCAAAAAATATAAAGAAAGGGATTGGACGGAGGAGTGATCCTTGTTTCTTCTTCAAGACAGCTAAATAAAAAAATAACTCGGACCTATGTAGCTTTTTAACTTTAATGCCCTTAATTCCAAAATTTCAAATCTTATTTAGTTTGCATAATTTTATTTTGGCGTTATGTTTATTACTGACAACTCTGGCATTTTATCCTTTTTTAATTTAAAAAATACTGTATATTCTACAGAATTTTTTTTGTCAAATGCTCTTTTGTTTTATTTTATTTATAGATCGGAATTTTGAAAAAACCGGGTTCGGGAAATGGGTTCTGAAAGTTGGCCAGGAGGGACCCGGACCAGGAATACCGCAAATTCCCGTTCTCGGCTTCAAAACCGGGAAAAGGGACCCGGAATCCGGGTCTTGGTCCGGGTCTTGGACCCGTTTCCGATTTCTAATTTTATTTTTCATTTCTTTTACTAGTTCTTTTATTCTTAATTATTTGTCGACAAATCTTGTAAAAAATTGTTGTCAATAGAATATCAATGCATTTGGACAATACTGCTTCTGATTCTGAGCAGTCAAAGTCTTTACAAATTAATGTTGAAGTTTCAAAAAAACGTCGGCCAAGAAAAGAAAGAACTGCAAAGTATTTTTTTAAATAAAAAGAAATTCTTCTTAATTTTTTAGAGAACATTTGGACTCTTTTAATGAACGTTCATTATTTTGGGAAGATGAAGATGGGGAGAGGACAGTTTATTTGTTTGATTATACAAATGAAGAAAATAGTAGACATAGGGGACATGAATTTATTAATAGACATTTACTACAAGAATTGAGGGATAATGACCTTTGGCGTTTAGTTAGGCATCCTTTAGTTTTGAATTTTGTTAATGAAAAGGTTTTTTTGAGAGGAAAAAATAATTAATATTTTAATTTTTTTAAAGCTTATTTCTTGTGCATTTTTCTATTTATTTCATGTTGTTATTTACTTCGTTTACCTTGGATTACTTTTCTCGTATGCTGAAGGGCCGCCATCAATTGCTAAAAATTTGTTAGTGACTGTCATTATTTTTTTCTTCATTTTTATTTTGGTAAGTATTTTTTAGGGATTTTATAAAAATAATTAGAAAGGGGAAATAATCAAATGAAAAAGTATTAAAAGAATTGTTGACAAAATTCTAACTTGAACAGAGATTCGCTAAATCTCTTGCTTTTCCGACGTTGACTTAAAACCTTTTTCTCTCTCATTTAAAAATTTTCTTCATAAATATAAAATCATTAATTTTTAGGTAGTCAAAGCTTCACTTAAATTACAAATTAAAAGTCCATCAAAATTAAGTGCTTGGTTTTATCTGTCATATACTTGGACAGTAATAACTTCTTTAATTGCTTTATTTTATATTTGGAGTTGGCAAATATTTGATTTTGATAGTTTTAATGAAGAAGAAAAGGTTTCTTTTAATTAAAAATATTTTTATTTATTTTTAAAGAAAACTGTTGGATGGCTTTTACCCATTGTGGCTATTATTGCGTAAATATTTTCTAAATTATAATTTTTTAATTTATATAATTTTTAGTTCATGGATAAATTGTCTTTATGTTCTTCGAAAAGCACCTTGTGGCCCTTATATTTTAATGATGAGCAAAATACTTTATTCTTTTCTTGGGGTATTTTTTAAATATTATAGTAATTGGGGAATAAAATTGGGGAGATTTAATTGGTGAATTATTTAGTTATCACAGTTTTTTATTAATTTATTCGGTAGAAATGTATTCAAAACCGTTTTTCGTCTTCTAATTTTGTTGCCTGTTATTTTTTAGATTTTCCACCATCTTTTTTGTTGTTAGACTTACACTCAAAACTTAAATAAATTATAATAAAATAATTATTTTCTTTTCCACAGACTTGTGCTGTTTGGATTCCAACCCTCTTTACCTTTGCTTTTGCTTTTCTATTAATTATGCGTAATTCGGGTGCTCGGCCATGGGATGATCCTGAAAGGAAAAATAATTCAACTTCTTTTATGCTTGCATTATTTCAATCATTTACAAAAACATCTGCAATGGTTTTTTTAATAAAATTTAATTTTTATATTAATTAATTTAAAAAAAAGATGATTGGGGAAGTTGAGGCAAATGATATTTTGGATATGAAAGAATGGATAGCTAATTTGTTGTTACTTTTATTTGAAATAATTACTGTGATTCTTTTAATGAATTTAATGATATCTTTGGCTGTTGGGGATGTTAATGAATTAAATTTGTCTGCCGAAGAAATGGATTTAAAAATTAAAGTTTAATTTTAAAAAATAAATTTTTTAATTTAAAAATATTTTTTAAAAAGGTTAATTTTTGTATTGAATCTTTACATTTATCTGAACAAATATCTTTTGCTCACAGATTAATTAATGTATTACATCGCTCTAAAACAAATAATGTTTTGGTTGTTGAAAAAAATGGACAAAGAGTTTTTTCTAAAAATGTTAGAAATATAAGTGAGTTTTGTTTAAATTTAAAATTATTTTGGAAATTTTTTAAAAAATATTTTTGACATTGAAAAGGAGTCTATTTTTGATTACAAATGTCCTTTAATATATGGAGAGATACTCTAGAACCCCCTCCCTCTATAATTCTTTTTTTCCTCTCCCTGCCCCTCCCCCTTACTCTTAAAAAAAGTTTTTATTTTTGTAGGAGAACATTATTTTGATGTCCATTTATCAGCTCGTTCAGAACAACAAAAAGAAAATGAAGGAATAAATAATGATCTAAATGGAGTTATTTCAGTTAATGAGCAAAAATGTTATGAACTTGAAATTAATACAAAAGGATTAAAATTACGAAAAGAATTGCTTTCTAGTCGAAAGGCGACATTATTAAATATTGAAGGAATTATAATAAAGTAAGTTAGGGAGAGAGAGAGAGTAAATTCTTCTAAAAATAATTTCTATCAATTAAAGATTATCAGAATCTCCATCATCAGGAATTCAACAATTAATTACTAGTTCAGAAAATATAGAAATTTTGGGAAATATTAAAAATGGTGAAACTTTGTGTAGAAAATTTAAGCGTTGGTTTATTGGATTAAACTTGAAGGCATTACTTTAAAGAAATAAAATAGATGGGAAAATAAATAAAAGGATAATAGGGTTTTAAATTATTTCTTTTTCTGTTTTAATTTTGCAATAAAAAATATAAAAATTTATTGTAAAAAAATATGAAATGAAAACAAATGAAAATTTTTTTAGAGAAATTGAAATGTTTATAATTTTGGGAATTAAAGGTTGGCAATCAGAAATTTATATTCTCTTGCCAATCTTTAATTAACAAACTATCAATTGCTAGAGATTGTAATTAAATTTGTTTAATTTTCAAATTAATTAAAAGAATTATTAAAAATTACAATTTCTATCTAAATTCTCTATATATTTACAATAAATTAAATCTAAAAAATTAAATCTTTGGGTAAAGAATTTTAAAAAATGGCAAAAAAAAAGTTGAGCTTGAAAAAGATTTTTTTGGCAATAATTCTGTCTGTCTGTCCTCTTATTTTATACTCGAAATGACGAATTTTGTTTCTTTAATTGTTTCTTTCCATTTATTAATTTAACTGTATTTTCACCAAAATATTTATCATAAAAATTTTCTACACTAGCCACAATTGTAAATAAAGCAGGCAAAAGTAATAATGAATGAATTGTCCCCAAAGTAATACAAATTAAAATAACTCGAGCAAAAACTTGAGCAATGTAAAGAGGTAAAAATAATAATGCTAATGCACAAGCATTTGTACCTGAAAATTAAAAATATTTTTGGAAAAATATTTTTCTTCAAAAAATTTGGAACAATTATAAATTCCCACAACTCTCCCTCTTTTAAACACAAAAATTCCTCCCTATTATTGTCTCCAAAATAAATAGAGTATTATGATATCCCCCAAAGATTCTATCTCTTCAAAAAATAAATTTTACATAATCCCCTCTACTAATAGAATATTTTTCTCAAAATTTTTACTAACAAGCTGATGCTTGAAGTGCAGGAAATCCAACAGAAGAAAAAGCCCTCTGAACACGTTCTGGAATACTTCTAGGCGTTTTTCTGGTTTTTTGATTTCCATTATTATCTTCATCTTCCCATTTTGCTGTATGGAAATGATAAGAAACATGTGCAGGAATATCAACACTAAATCCAATGGAAATAATTACTGCAGACATTAAAACTGGATCCATAGACATTCCCGTTAGAGATAATATTCCAAGTGTTTCTTTAAAAAAATAAATATATTTTTAAATATTTAATAATTACCAGCACAAATAGAAGCAATAACTCCAGTAGTTACACAAACAACAAAGAAATTACTACCCATAAATAAAGCACAAATAATAGCCATACAAAATAAAGTAGCTACTGCAGATTGCCAAATATCTGTTGGCTTAAAAAATTTAAAATATTTAATTAATATCAACAAATTAATTAAAATATAATTTTTTTTTTAAATTCCTTAACAATTTTAAAAATAAAAAGATTTACCATATTTTCCAACAAATCCAAATATAAACCTATAAAAAATAAAATATTTTTCTAATTTAATTTTATTTTTACCATCATCATGTAAAACAGTAACATTAAATTCTTCATTATATTTATCAACAACAGACCGCCACTGATTCAGCATTAAAGCTCTATAATGCCAATCTTTCAATTCTTCTCCATGATAGGCTACAGTAACCATTAAACTATCCAAATGTGTAGTTAATTCACTTTCATTTTTTAGGTTATCGGTGTGATAATTGATAAGACCTTTCCAATGGGTATTTTCTGGCCATAAAAGAACTAAAAATAAAAATAATTAGGAGGATTTCTTTTTTATTTTTTTCTATCTTTTAAAACTAATCTCGAAAAAGGATGGTTAACCCTACTTCTAGTGTATTTTAGGTGTTTATTAAATAATCATTTTTAATTTATTTCTATTTCCTAAAATTTAAATTTTATACCTATTCCCCCCCCCCCCCTCACCCAATTTTCCCAAATTTAACAAAAATTTTCCTTCAAGTTTAAATTCGAAAATTAAAGTTCCCCCCGTTTTCTCTTAACTTTCAAATAAAAAATTAAAAACAAACAATTCTCTAAATCCGTCAAATCAAAATTTTGCGTTTTTGGAGTTGAAGAGATTGTAGTAGTTAAAGTTAAATTATTGTTGTCCTCGTCAATAATTTCCCCTCCATTTCCTTCAGATAAAGATTTCTCAAAAGCTTCAAAAGCTCTAACAAAATAAAAACTACTTTCTGCTGGATAGGCATTTGGCCTTAAAAAATAAAAAAATAATTTTTTTTAATTATTTTTAAATTTACAAATGTTCCATTTCATCAATTAAATTATCCAAATGTTTTCTTCTTTTTTTATTTGTTAAATCCCCAGGATTTTCGATAAATATTTGTGCTTGGGTATAAAATGGGAGAACTTTTTCTTCTCGATAATTTTCAATTTCTAATAATGGAGAATCTGGAGGGAATAATTTTTTGGTTGTTAAATTTATTTCGAATTGTGTTAATGCCTGAAATTTAAAAGAAAAAAATATTTTTAAAGAATATTTGCCTAAAATTTAGGGATTTATTATAGATTGGTAATAGGGATAAAAAATGTAAAAAATATCAAAAATAGTCCTATAAAAATGAATTAATTAAAGATATGTATTCATTTTTAAATTGAGGGAGATCTGACTGTAAAGGAAGGAGTGTTAATTGTATGTATATAAATACACTAAAATAAAATTTTAAAAAACGGAAAAGCCCTGAAAAAAATTAATAAAGTATAGTGAAATTAAAATATAAAACTCTTAAAGTTAAATTTACCTTAATACAAATAAGTAAAACAGTTAACCAAACAAAACAAATAAAAATAGAAGCCCAAATATTCGAAACAAATTTAACATAAATTTTAGCAAATTTATTAAAAATAATTTCAATTTTATTTCTAAAACTTTTTTTATTTTTAATTTGTTGTTTGTTGTTGAGGGTATTATTTTCTACAATTATCATATTTTTATTATTTTGTTGAGCATTTTGAACTTCTTGGTTAAATTCAAAACGAGCACAAATGATTAAAACTTTGAAAAGAAAAGAAGTTTTTAGAATAATTGAAAGGGGAGAGGGGGGGGGGATTGGAAATAAAAGGGAGAGACCGGACATGAGGATAGCTTTATAACAAAAATAGATCTCTTAAAGCTAATCTATTCCAGGATAATTTGTAACAAGGATTCTACCGACATTAAAAATAAATCCCCCGATTTAGGGACGGCAGTCTCTCTAGTTTAAAATAAACTAAAGACTTAAATTCAAATAAGCTTCTAATTTTATATAAAAAATTACCAGAAGTAAATAAAGTTATTTGATAAAAGAAATCAACAGTAATCTAAAAAATAAAAATAATTATTTTTAAATTTAAAAGAAAAAACCAACAGAAGCAATATTGCCAACACAAAGAAGTGTAATTTCTGGAGATCCAGTAAAAGACCCAATAATGTCAGAACTTATATTTGTTAGTGCTGATATCATTATTGCTGGACCTGTTTCTTCTAATACCTAAAAAATTAATTTTTTTATTGTTTTCCGTGTCCGCAAGTTTTTGCGGATTAAATTTGCGGATTATAAAACAAAATTAAGTATTTATTTAATTTAAAACTTTACTTCAGTCAATTGTTTAGCTAAAGAAGAATCTATTTGTTTTCTTTGTTGTTCTTTAAGCCTTTTTTCAGCTTCCATAGTAATTACATCCCCGCTAATAATGGCTGCAGGTAAAATATTATTTTTTCTTCTTTTTGAGGTTGCCATTTGCCAGGAATGGATCATTAAAAAGGCATCGTCGATTCCTTCAAATTTTTTAAAATTAATTTTTTTGGGAACTGTTTTTAAAGTTTTTTTTTAAAATAATTTAAATTTAAAAACATTCAAGGACTTGACAAAGAAAGGATTTTTAAATTTAAAAAATAATTTATTTAATTACCGATAGCCAAAATAAGAAAAGGAGTTAATCCAAGAATTGAACTTTAAAGAAAAAAATAAAAAATTAATTAAATTAAAGAAAAAAATATTTACGCATTTCTAACGCCAGCAAAGAAAAGTAACCCTAAAGCCGTTCCACTAGCCATTAATGGACATAAACAGGCAAATAAAGCAACGGGGAACTAAAAAACAATTTTTAAATAATTAAATTAAGTAAATTACTTTATAAAAAGAGAATTGTCTCATAAATGTTGCCGATAAAGAATTACTTAATAAAGAAGCTAAACACATAATTATTAATCCAACACTGACAAAAGTAATTAAAATTTTGCCGGAACGGTCAAATTCTACTTGGGCATAGCTTTAGTAAAAAATAAATAAAAATTTTTTTAATTTAAAAAATTAAACAAACGAAGTAGAAATAGAAAGTACTCGAATATATTTGCCGGTAAAGTTACTAAAAAATTAAAAAAAAATAATTAAATAAAAAGTGAAGGTTTTTAGTGGATAAAAAAGAGAAGAATAAAATAATTTTAAATTATTTACTTTTTAAAATAATTAGAAACACTCATTTCATAATTAGATATATCTTCATTTGTCCAACTTTAAAAAATAATATTTTTAAAATTAATTTAATTTAAGTATACCCTCCAATACGTTCAGCACGATATAAAAGAACAATCATTTCTACTTTCTCCATATTTGTGTAATTTCTACTGTTTCCAAATTCCACACCGAAAAAGCTTAGCTAAAAAATAAAGGAAAATATAATTTTAAGTTTGGAATGAGGGAGGGGATGGGAAATCATCCTCAAGATATCCTCGAATGGAGAAGTTGGTTAGCAGAGGGGCCGATCGAGTCATTTCGCCGGACTAGCCCGAAGGGCATAACATTAGCCCGAAAATAATAAGCATTTATTTTTTTCTTTTTACCTGAAGATTAACATTCATGTCCATAACTTTCGAAAAAGGATAATTTAAACGTGTTTTTTCATTTAAAGGTTCGCCATTTCTTAAATTTTCTTGTTGTTCTTTCCATCCAATCTTTAAATTATATCAAAATTAATTACTAAATCCAAAATTCTCTTACAGTAAAAAGACTAACAGGATCATTAATTGTACAAAAACGGCGGCATACTTGATTATATGATTCCTCTTTGTTTGTTATACGATTGTAAATTGTTAAATTTTTCTGAATAATATTGTCAACCTGAAAAAGTTTTTCAAAAAAATATTTTAAATTTTTTTTTTGCAAAATATACATACTAAATGTCTAATAAGTTAACAAGTTTAGACAAATTTATTTAAATTTAAAAATTTCTTTTGAAATTTTACAAGACACTAAGCAAATAAAAGTTCTTCTTTTCTCCAAAAATTACCTCAACAGCCTCATCCAATACTTTTTCATCCAACATTGTCCCATTCTCTTCTTTAGGTAATATCAAAATAAAAAAGCGTATTCCTATCCCGGATTGCCCAAAAAATTCATCCCGAACATCAAATTCATGTAAAGCCCTAGCTCCATAAGGAGTATATCCACGAAGTTCATTTACACGTCTAAAAAATATTTTTTAAATTTATTTAAAATTAATTTCCCCTTACTTTGTTTTAATCATTTTAATTGAACAAATAATTGTTAATAAAAAACAAAAACAAATTATTTTGATTGGATGGGCAATTACAAATTTAGCCCAAATTCTATAAAAACTAACAACAAATTCATGAAATCGATCAGACCAATTATTTGGTGATTTTAAAAATGAAGATGAGGAAGAGGAGGAAGAGGAGGAAGTGGAGGTGCAAGAAGTATTAGCTACATCTTTTTTGAAAAAAAAAGAAACATATTAATTTTTTCTAAAAAAAACCCTAAAATACCTTTATTTAAATTATTTTGTTTTTCTGGAATTTTATTATTAGAAGGTTGTTGTGATTGACACAAAATAACAGCTGCTTTATTATTCATAGAAATATTTGGTATAGCTTTAAGTGAACCCATAAATATTTTTTTAAAAACTAAAAATTAAAAACAAATGTAGAACAAAAATAAATTAATTAATTAAACTTAAAAAGATTTTATATAAATTAAAATTAAATTTTAATATATAGTATGTAGGTAAATTATCAAAAGAATAAAAATATTGCTAATTATTACTAAAAATTATTAATAATTTAAATTATTACAAACACTACATATATATTTAATTACAATTATTTAATTTAAAAAAAAAACTTAAAATAATTTTATAGCCAAGAATAAAACTCCGAAAACCCCCTACAAACCATAAAAAATTAGAAAATGATCTAGTATTTCCAATTTAAAGTTGGACACACAAAGAAAGGCGCGGAAAGAAAAATGTGGGTCTGGAATGTTTTAAAAGGTTTAAATAAATAAAAAGTTTTTAAATAAATAATTTTTATTCCGATAAAATCAATAAATTAGCAATTAATTAATGTAAAAAATTAATTAACTTGGTGGTATTTAGATATTAGCCACAAAAATTAATGTAGCAAAAGTGTGATTTTTTAAGGGGTTTATATAAATTGTCGGTTATTATGTAGTATGCAATTATTGAAATATAATAATTAGTGATTGGATACCGATAAATACCTAAAAATACAGATGGAGTTAGAAGATAAAGCAAAAATGAAGTCATCAGTCGATACTAGAAGAGAAGAGCCCCAAAACAGAATTACCTGCCCATCATAATTATTTTAATCAAGAATCGTCCAGCTACAAACGAATTAAAGCCGATCTTATGAGATGTAACAAACAAACAATAATTTATATGTATTTTATCATTAAAGCCCAAGGGCATTCCAAAACTGCTAGTTACTTATGTTAAATCTAAATTTATTAATTCCCTCCCAAATCACCTTAAAAAGACATTTTTAAATAGTTAAAAAGAATTATTTTATAATATTTATTGTTTACCTATTTATTTAATCACATTATTATTGTCTGAAATTGTCGCGCTTGTATTTATAAAATTTTGATTTAATATAGCAGTAAATTTGAAACAAAAAATTTTAAATTAAAAGGAAAAGACCAATTAACTAAAAAAATTTTTATTTTAGAAATATCTTAACTTGATTAGCACTAAAATTTAAGAAAAAAGACTAAATTAGTGGGGGTGTATATATTAATTAGTATTTACGTTTTCTCTCTCAATTAAAATACTAAAAAATTAAATAAAAAAAATTTTTCCTCTTAAAATTTGCGTTTTCAGCGAATTATGATTAATTTAAATTGAGAATATTTAAATAGAAGATGAAAAGTCAGAATTTATTTAAAAAAATATTTTTAAGAAAAAGAAATATTTTTGCTTAATTAAATAAAAATTAATTAAAAAAAGAAGAATTTTTGTGGTGTCATTTAGTATATTAAAAATATTTAAAAAACCCAATTAATTTTTAAATTAAAAGGACGTTTAAAAAAAGGGATCATTAATTTAAAAGTTAAAATAAATTAAAATTTTAAAACAATTTAAATAGAAAACAACCCCAAATATCGGGCATAACACAAAAACCGCATGACTACCTACCCCCCTTTATTCCCTTTTATTCTCACAAATTGTTTCAATTTTTACAAGTAATTTCTTCCCTTTTATTAACTCATTCGCTTTCATCAATCGCAGACATAGTTGCGCGTTAAAATATTAGTAAATACCTAAATAAAAGGGCAAATAAAAAAAATAAAATAAATTAAACTTTTGCGATAATAATTAATTTAACAAAATGATTTTAGATATTAGGTAAGTTAAGTATGTACTTATTGTGGATGTTTATCAAAATAAAGTTGTAAGATTTATTTTTAAAATAACACTCCTAGTATGCCTCTAAAATAAATAAATCACTTTTTTAAATTAGCCAAATAAAAGTAAATAAACTAATTAAAAGTTCAAAAAAGAGTAGCAAATAAATATACAATTTCTCAAAATTTATTAAATTAAGAGAAATATTTTTAAAGTAGAAGGTTATCGTTGGGGAAGTTGTGGTGAATAGTACCAAGGTTATAAGAAAGATTAAATGAAATTTCAACATTAATTTATACCTTTACAAATATAAGTGATTTTTAAGGGACTACAAAAAAATTAATGATCAAGTCCAAAGACAAAGTTCCCGCCTTATTTTAAAACAGAATCAAACAATGCAACTTTACAAAATTCTTTTATTCTTTTTGTTTAAACAAAAAAAAATTCGGTGAAATTATTTCAAATTATTGCGATTCTTTAAGTGAATTTAAAATTAAATTTTAATCTAAAAATGGGTCACCCTCCTCCGGTCTTCACATCCTCCCATTGAATTTGGCCAACCTCTACAAACTCCAAACAAGAAATAATTTTAGGAGATTGAATACATGAAGTTACCAATTTATAAATTGTAGTTTGTAATTGTTGATGTTTGTGTAGAATTTGCTGGTGACAATTAATTGTGTTCTTTCCTTCATTGATCAGACTGCACATATCCTCAACTATAAAAAATTTTTTTATTGTTTGTATTTATAAATTTATATTTTTACTACTTTTCTGATCGTTAAAATAAAAATTGGGACAAACTATATTTAATTTAAAAAAGTTTAATAATAAAATAATTGTTTAACCCAAATTTTTATTATTTTTAAGAAATAGAAAATTTGGCCAACTTAAATAAGGGAAATGCAGAAAATTAAATGCCCTCGTCAATCTAAATTAAATATTAGAAAATTTGTAATTGAGATTAAATAAGTAGAGATTAAATAAGTCTAAAATAAGGGAAATGCAAAAAATTTTGCCAGTAATTGAAAGCTTGCATTTTTTCCCGAATGAAAATTTTGTTTATCAGAGCTTTTAACCTTTTAAGTCTCCAACGCTAAAATTTTCAAATTTCATTTCAATTTTACTAATTTTAATTAAATTCGATTTTAAGGAGCTTGGTTGTCTCTATAAACTTTTAATAAATTATTTCTCAGTTAATTACTTAGGACTTATGATCTTTTAACTTTCAAAATTTTATGAAAAACAAAACTGTATATAAAAGTAATTTAAAAAACAAATAAATTACTTTTAAAGAATTTTTAATTTTAATAAATTTGTTCAAAAATTATTTTTTTCTTCAAATTTTTATTTAATTAATTGTCCTCGTCGCTAAATTTGTTTTTATTTCATAACCTTGGTTATTTGTCAAATTAAGAAAATTAGGTAACAAGTAATTAAATGTTTTACAAAATTCAAAAAAGAGAATATATTAATAAATAATAAATTACTAAATTTTTAGCCCAATTTTCTAGCTTTTTAAATATAAAAAAATAATTTTCACATGATTTCCATTTAAAAATGAAATAATTATGCGCAAATAACTCTTAACTACTATCTATTTTGCAAAAATAAATAAAAGAGAATTTCTCAAAATTAAATAAAAAATGAAGAAAATTTAGAAAAAAAATTAATTTAAATTAATCACTAAAACTTACTTTCAAGTAAAAGAGAACGTCCATCATGAAGAGATTGCATAAAAATATTATAAATTGGTGCTGCATCAGGATAGATGAATAATGCACGCATTACTTCATTTAAAAGATTTTTGTGACGATTTAATAAATTGTAAGGGTCTTGGCTTGATTGAACAATTTTTAGAATTGAAGTGCTTTGAATAATTAATACCTAAATAAATTTTTGTTAATAAAATTATGAAAAAATTAACAAACTTCATCAAAAATATAATTGCCTAAACGAGCAAGAAATATCCTCAATTTATGTAATATAGCAAAGATTTGAATAGGAGAAGGTTGAGTGTTAGCTAAAAATTGGAAATATAAAATTTAGAAAAATAGAGCTTTGAAAAGAAGTTTTGATAAATTATTTAACTAATTACTTATTTCTAGTGTTACAAGACCAAAAATACTAAAATAAATATGTATCTTAAGAAACCAAAAAATTAAATTTGTAAATTTTCATTACCTTTAAGACGTCTTGTTTTCCTGAAGATATTTGTAAAACGATAAGTAGTCTCGTCTAGATAGAAGCGAAGCATCTAAAAACGAAAAATATATAAAATTTGCTAAAAACCAACCTGAAAATTTGACACAATGCTGAACACTTTTTTGTAAATTTTCATTACTTGTTTTGAAAAGAATTCAGCCATTGGACTAGCTAGAGTGGAATCATCAGAAAATTTTTTCTTTAAATTGCTACTATAGCTTAAACCAAATAATTCTAATAAAGTCTTTGAACGGTCACGACATCTTTCTGAAGAGAGAAGCACAATAAGATCAGCTATATTTTTTGGTGGTGAACATAATTTTAGAGCATTATTTAATATATCTTCAATCATTTTCATTTTTGAAGTTAACCGATTCCGTACAGATTTTGGTGTTTTATAACAAACTGTTGAATCGCCAAAAGAGACACTAAAAAGAATAATAATACGTAGAATTTATCTATTATTAAGTTTATGTTAAAAAGTTAAGAGCTGCCATTTAAGTTAAATAATTAGAGCTGCCATTAAATTAGAAAATAATCAAATAGAATGCTTGCTATTTGTCCCCTAGTAATTCTTCCCTGATTTTCTGATTCAACTATCCCCTTTTCGCCCTTTATAGCTCCTCGCCCTCCCTTTTCAATAACCTTCATTAATAATAAAAATTAATAAAAACCAACAGAATTAATCGCTCAAGTTCGGCAAACAAATCTCCACGAAGCATAAAAAAATAAGCATGTACCAACATCAAATGATCAACCATTCTATGATTTTGAATAAGTTCTATACGCATATCGTCACAAATGATATCGTCCAGTTTATGAAGCACAATGGAAAGTAAAGCCCGATGTGGAGGATCATGCCAAATGGCAGAAATTAAATAACGTTGAATTATTTCCAATCTTTCTTCTCGAGCAAATTCATAGAAGCGAGTTGAACGGAGAACTTTCAGAAAATGCACTTTCCTTCCTATATCAATTATCTTAAAAAATTGACATAAATAAAAATGATTTTAATGAATTCCTAAAAATTTTAACAAACCTTTTCAATTAGCTCTCTGGAGTTATTAAACGACTCTAGGACGTTCTCATTTTGAATTATAACGGGAAGTGACAATTCCTTGGAAAAATCATCTTTAGCAACATCCAATTTGTTCATTGTTTGTTGTGATAAATCAAATTCGATGCTTTGAAAGGAAGTAATGGAAGCATCCAAAGTACTTGTGGAACGTGCAGGAGAAGGTTTAACAGGTTTTCCTCCAACCTTGATCATCCAAATAGTTTGTTCAGAAAAATGTGCATCAAGAAGCCATTTTGAACAGATGTTATTAAATTCATTAGAAGATCGAACAATGGCATTCATTAAAAGCCTAAAATTTAAAATTAAAAAAACTGCAAGATGACACAATTCTACCCATATTCCCAATCCAAATGGCATAAAAAAGTGGTTTTTTGGTAAAATAGATTTATAAGCTGGATTCCATCATTTGATCCGATCAATGAAAATAAAGATCTGACGAATCGTAGACGTTTACACCAGATATGAGCTAATATTAATATTTCACTGAGTTTTCTGGTTACGCGCAAAGAAATATGCTAAAATAAGGAAATTCAAAATGTGATTAATGAAATAATCATAAAAAAGAAAATTTTAAAATATAATTAACAAAATCCTATTATAGTAAACACCAAGATTTGAAAAATACAGTTAGTTTATAAATTCAGAAAAGGTTAAAATAAAAAACCTCAGCACGCATCTTGCCAATAATATTTTGATATTGTCCATAATCATCAAAAATAGACTCGGCAATAGCCCTCTTTATAGGATGACATTCTTCCGAAGATTGCTTATTACAACCAGGAGATTCGTTCACATTATATTCAGCTTTAGATAAGTCACAATTCTGAAAAACAAAAAAAAACATTTAAAATAACTAAAATACAAAAACCCTGAAGCACTCTATGAATCTAACATAAGTAGATAATTCAACGATTTTTAAAACCTCAAATTTAATATCCAAAGGAATATTTTCATTAATAAACTTCTAAATTAAAAATAATTAAAATAAAAATAAATTTAAAAATAAACCTCATTTGGTCTAAATTCTAATTGCGATGTTTTTAAAGAAGTAAAAGTGCAAGGTTCACCGTTGAAAGCCAAAAAAATTTCGGAAATAAATTTATATTCTGATATTTGCATTTTTTTAATGAATTGTCTAAAATAAAAACAAATATTTAAAAAAAATTCGAAACAAAATAACAAAAAAAATATGGAAAATCGACAAGGAAAAAGTAAACAAAAATAATGGAAACAAAAAAGAAAAAATCCATTTCCATGACGACATTTTAAATGAATTTTTAACACCAAAACAACAAAAATGAATTATTTAAATTTGTTTCTCTTTCATTTTACTAATTAAATACTTTATTTCATTTCGGTAAATATTCTAAAAAAATATCATTTTGTCACGCTAGTTATAATTTAATTGAAATTTTTGATTTATTCAGAGAAATTTTTAATTATTTTTTTAAAGATGTGTTGAGATTTTATTTAAGTTTTATTATTTTTTATATTACTTTAATAATGTCAAATGGCACACAAACAGATTTTACTGTGAGTTTGAATTATCAAAATAATTTTTAAAAATTAAATAGGTTGATGAGAAATTCATGCCTGCTACTGAAGATGCCTCTACAGAATTATTTGAAGGAATTGATGAAGTTTATTTTTCAGAAATTGGATTTAAAGCAATTAACCACGAATTGGAGGTTTTTTTTCTTTAATTTTTTAAATTATTTATTTTTAAATATTTTAAAGAAACTTTGTGATACTTTATTTGAAACAGAAGATTTACAAAAAGAAATGTTTAAATTAAAAAAACAAATGCAACTTGTATCAAAAAAGATAACTTCTTTTGTTGCAAAAAATTCTTTAGAATTTAATAGAAATGTTGAAAATTTGGATGTTATCCAAAAAGAAGGAGAAACACTTTTAAATTTAATTAAACAATTGAGAAGGTTTTTGAATTAAAAATAAATAATTTTTTAGCATTAATAATTAAGATTAGTAAATTATTGTCACAAAAAATGTCGAGCATCTTCTACTGTTCTTGCTATAGAATTTAAACGACAAAAAATGCTTAAAATTAAAGAAGAAATGGCTAATATACAAAAACTTTACAAAACTGAATTTAAATTGAAAGAATTAATTGAAGTAAGGAAATTAATGTTTTAAATCCGAAATATTTTATTAAATCCGACACTTTTCTGATAATTTTATTTTTGCCCGAGAAATTCACGGAGAACCTGTTTTTTATTTTATTGAAATATTTGCATCTAACAATAAATTCAAAATTTATACCCCTAGTATTTATTTATCTCAAAGATTTGGTAGGGTCCTTATAGTTATAAAATAAATTTTTAAGAAGAAATTTTTAGCCGAAAGCTTTTTGATTTTGGGAGGTCAAAAGCAAATTTCTTCCATTTTCAACAAGCAGCTGAAAATTCTGAGAATTTAGGGGGTTGTAAGCGAAAAAATTTACTTTATTTAACATTTACCTCCCAAATTTTTTTTCAATTTCTCCCATTTTAAGGGGGCTTCAGCTCCTCCTGGATACGCCCTTGATAATTCTTTATTAATTTTGAAATTTAAGGAAGGCAGTATATTTACATTTGTTCAATTGGCTGTTGAAACAATTACTGAAATAAATAAATATATTAAATATTCATCAATCAAGTATTTAAATTTAATTATTTTAATTCTTTAAAGATAATTTAGACAATTATCATCAAATATTTTGGCTATTTTAAAAAAAGAAATTTTAAGAATTGATAAATTATTAGAGGAACAAGTGTGCTCATTTCAATTAAAACATTATTTTTATATTTATTCCGTTTACGAATTAATTGGAAATTTGGAGGTTTTTTTAATTTTTATTTTTTTAAAATAATTTTTAAAAATAGGAAACATCTCGAAAATTACAAAGTTATTTTAAATTGGCCTTTCAAAATTCTTCACAGACATCACTTGCTGCAATTTGTATAAATTCAATGGAAAATCATCAATCAATGGATGATAAAATTGATTATTTAGAATTGTGCAAGGTAATAAACAAAGTTTATATGGGAACTACCTTCTAACAAAATAGGAAATTTTCGAAGTATTTAGAAACACAAAATAAAAATCATAAAGTCGAACGAGTAAATTTCTATAAAATTATTGAAAGAAATCCAATAATTTTCCTATATTTTATTATATTCTAATTAAAACCTTTTAAACAGTTTGTAAACCAAAAATCTTTTACTCGAGCACTTATTGAGGTTGGCAATTCACTCATCAATATTCTTGCAAATTATCATTTAATTTTAAAATTTCATATAGAAGAGGATAAAAAGAAGGCTATTTCTAATGAAAATGACTCAGAAATTTCTGAATGTTTTGATGCGCAAATTATAGGTTAAAATTTGATTGAAAATTGATGCAAAAAGAGACTGGAAGGGAATATTTCTTCGCGAATTTAATTTCCCCCGTTTTCCGTCCTTAACAATAAAAATATTATTGCTAGTTAAAATGGGGCATCCACTTCTATTTATTTTACATATGACCTGGCCCTTTTGGAAAAATCCAGGATTAATGACTGACAATCAGATTGTTTGACTTTAACTTTTATCTGATTTTTAAATTAAATTTTTAGATAAAGGAGTTCTTCAAAAATCAATGCTTGACAATCTATTTCAAATTTTTGATTATTCAGCTACCTTCTACAACGATCTTCTCTCTAGTATGGATCTTGAACATTTGAAAATTGATCAATTTATAAGAATTATGGAAATTTCAGAAAGGTTTCGATTATTTGGACAACGACATTTTGGCAATTCTTGCTCATTAATAGCATTAACACTAGAAAATAAATCAAAATCTTTTTTTGCCCACTACCACATGGAAAGAATTGATGAAATACATATGTTTTTAGAAAGTGAAACATTCACCCTTTGTCCTGTGTCTGTACAATTTACTCTTTTTGATTTACCAGTAAGTTTATTTATTTTTCTATTGTATATTCTTCATTAACCGAACTGTTAATGTAAGTAGAGTACTATGCCAAAAATAATTATATGGTAAATTATATGGTAAATTTTATATGGTAAATTTAACAAATAAAAACGCTCGATACAAGAGTTCCCTTGTTTGGAGTAAATAAAATACTATCAACACATTTGTATCTGACACGAGTGAAAGTATTTTTCAAAATCAAATTAACTTTGATTTTACAAAGCAGCTGACCAAGCAATTTTCCCATTAAACTTTTACCCTGCACAAAACTTGCAGTTTAAAAAGACCAAACATCAACTGCCTATAAAAAATATAATTGCAAAGTTCAAAATTTTATTTTAAAAGAATACTGGTTGAGAGCAAATTATTTTAAGAAAATTGAATTTAAAATAGAAAGAAATCAACCAGAACATATATTTGATTAAATAGAATGGAGCTTTTTTAAATTTAGTATTATAAAAATGCAAAATTATAGTGTGAGCATTAAATGTCTTAATGTTTCGTCATTAATTAAAGTCAAATGTTCTTTTACTGCGTTGATTTCGACCGAAACGGCTTTAGCGATTTTAATCCGCAACACTATTGCCACGCCTTCCCGGTGAACCTCCACCAAGACTTGCACGCATAATGTAAGTCATCATATCGTTGACGCAAATCTTCGTCTCATCAAGCACCTTAACATTTAATTTACATGTTTTGTCAACAATGAAAATATACCTTAAGCTTCACCTGCTCAATGCTTCGAGCCTTAGCAAAAGCATCGCAAATGCGCTGGCACCAGGCAATAACTTCCTGAACGCGATATTGAAGTCCGGAAGTGAGCAACTGAAATTATTTAATAATTTTTATCTAACAGAGTTCTGGATTTGTAAATATTTAATACCTGAGATCCCTTTTCGTTCAGATTTCCCAACAGTTCCTCGAGACGCTTAGAACTTTGACGAATGATGTCCAAAAGTACAGCGCCCGGAGTAGTCCCGACACGAATAGCTTGATCCGTCACAGCTCGGCAAAGTGCAACCGTCGCAGTCGTTCCATTACTAATTTTGTTGTATGTCCAGTCCTTGCCACTACGCATATAATCAACCTTTATAGAATTAGTTTTCTTTTAATTCATACAGTTAACAAACCAGAACGAGACACCTTCCCAGCTGTTGAATGACTACAGCAACCGAATAATAAACCGGGTCAAAGATAAAGGTGCTGGCGCATTCCTTAACAGCCCCACCAATACGCATAGCCAAAGTCTTGACACGTTCCACAAGTGAACTATCCGGACGCTCATCAGCAGGTTCAAGACGGAAAATCTTGTCAGTGGCGGCGTTCAGAAAGTCAAGGGTTGTGTTCGCATGCTCCGTCATCTTTTGTGTCGGATGCTAAACAAGAATGATTAATATGAAGTATGGAGTTCTTTAAAACCTGCACAAACTCGCTAGTAGCCCCAATCGCATTAAAAATCACTCGCTCAATTGCTTGCTCATACGAGTAAATGGCACGAGTTCCAGCTCTCCCAGCATCTTTTGCAGCAATTATGCAGTCAAGCACAATATTAGTTGCAGAAATACCAACACAAAGTCCAACTTGCGTTGCAGCAAGACCAGCACCAAAACCAAGATTTCCAGTAGCCATAATATGACGGATCATGACGGAACGAATTAAATTTTAGATATTAAATTAAATTCTTAAAATGGTCAATGCTGAAAAGAATATTTATTTATTAAATATATTTTGTATCATTCTATTTTACAGTTAGACGAAAATAAAGAAAAAATGACTAGGTGATAGAATGAGTAGTTCGATAACGAAGAGTATTTTTCACATATGAATTGGTAGTGGACTTAGGTTATGTGTTCTTTGTTCCTTGTACCCAAAAAGAGGAAAATAAAATTTTGAAAGTAATTCTCCAGGTCTGGGCTCGTTAAAATGAATTAAATAAATAAAATGACTAGATGTGTCAAAGTATAAGGTGTTATTTAGAAAAACTCAAAACAAAACAAAGCCAAATGAGAATAAAGAAAACCATAAAAATGGCCTAGGTAAGAAAAACAAGGAGATAAGAAATTTTGCACACACAAAATTTCTCAGATTGTGTTCGGAAAAGCAATGATAGGCAAAGTTAATTTCTTATCAAATGTACTTATAAATGATTGGAGTTTTGAATTTATAAATGCGCGCAGTTCGTTTTATGTTAAAATGAATTGCGATTTAATGTTGTTTGTAGTTAATAGGTGAAGGGGAAAATAATGTTGTAATACATAAATGTAAAATACACATGTAGTAAATCTTTTCGGGTTTTGTTTCTAATTACTGAACACTTAACTAATAACAAATGGTTTAGAAAGAATTATGATTTTATTCTTCAACGGACCCCAATTTTATTTTTCGCTCAAATCGATTTTACAACTCAAAAGGGGTCCTAAAAAAGTTAAAATATGTATCAGAAGAATTAAATGTGACATTTTTATATGGAAAGACTTGATTAAAAACTAAAAAATAAAAAATGTAAACTGACAATAAGCAAGAAAACACTAAAAAAATATTTTTCTATACATTTGGTTTTTTGAAATAATTTAATTGTTGACACTTTGAAAATTGAGCGGAATTTTAAATTTGAACTGATTTACTCTCACAAGTCCTTTTGAATTAAATTTTAAAATTTTATTTTTAGGAATTCTATTTTCTCAAACGGTCGAATGTGTTTGGATTGGATGTTCCCATTGTGGAGAATTATCTCCAAGCCAATTGCTCTGAACTTGATAGGCAAATGGACTTTGTTTTGATAGAAAATTCAACAACATTCGATGTTTTTCCTACATTAGAGCAAATAAATAGCAGTGTAAGTGTAATAAATATTTTTATTGTTAATAAATAAGAGAGATATTTAGTTGTGTGATGAGAATATTTACTTTTACACTTCAATCGTCAGAAACAATTTTTATAGGAAAATTAACATTTTTATGATAAGTAATAAGTAGAATGGGAAATGGGAAACATTAAAGTAAACAGGATAGATGTACTAGTTAAATAAAAAGGGCATTCCATATCTATTTTTTGATAAATCATACGGTAGCCATAGTAAGGCTTTAGGAATTTAAAATTTATAGTTGTGTCAGGGGGTTATGTTTTAATTTTCTCTTAAATTCTATTGAGAAAAATGGGAATAAGTTAGAAGCTTATATATTGACAAATAAGGCGGGAAACGTTATATACATATAAAGGTCGAAATTGTAAATCTGAATATGATTGACAATTATTCGAATTTATGAGGTGAAATGGGTTAGGTTAAAAAGGTTTTTAAATATTTATTTATGATTGGGGAAGTGCCAATCAAACATACATAAAGAAAAGAAAGGGAAAATATTTTTATTAGGGGAAAGGAAATTTAAATAAGGCAAAGTTTAAGAATAATAGGTAATTTAAATTATTTTTTGATTTATTTTTAGCCAGCACATAGCTGTGACAGCAAATTTAGCAATTCTCTTTCATGTGATTCACCAGAAGATGAATTAGATTCTATTCAACTATTACAAAATAAATCAATGCCCAACTTATGCAATACTGCTTTAAATATTCTTCGAATAATTGGTATAGATGTAAATTAATTTAAATTTATTTTATATTAGGTAAATATCTTCGTATGGCAAAAATCTTAAAATCTACAGCTGAACAAGTTTTTGATGATATATTGCAATTGTTCTATTATTTTGTTTATTCAGTAGTTTATTCTTTATTTTTAATTGGCTGATAATATGTTTTAGTTATACAAGTATTTTTGTTTGGATGTCCAAATTCAACAACAACAGGATTTTGGGACAATTTTTGCTTCTCTAAGGCTTCGTCAACTTATGGATAATGTTCAAAATACTTATTTTTGTCAAGTTAATGGTGACTCTGTTACAGATGAGGTAAATTGTAATTTATTTAATTTATTAGAATTTAAATCTTGCAATTTAGCAAATTCACCATTTGCCTGCATTCCCGAATTTGAGTCCAGATTTGAATAACAATGAAGCCCTTTTTTCTTTAGCTGAACGTTTAATCGGAGTTGAATCAATGTAATTTTTATTAATTAAATCTCAATGTTTTGATACTAAAATAACTAGAGATCGTAATTTCGTACCGATTCGTATTTCGTAGCATAATACCGTGTATAATACCGATACATAAATACCGAAAAATACAATAATTTTTCATCGGTAACGTATTTTTTTACCAATATTTTTTTCTACTGATACGGAATAACGAAAAATACGGCCGTAGTACGGTCCGATCACTACTAAAAATAACCCCGGAAATTTTATTATCCCTTCGTCAGAATAAAAATTGTGGTTCACTTAACTTTTCTTATTGCTAAATTTTCTTTCCTTATCTATTAAAGTAATCTCTGAACTTCTCAAAAAATTATTTTAGAACTTTTCTTTCAAAACAAATGGAACTTCTTCGGCCGACGTTAGAAACACTAGTTATTGATAAGAAAAGAGGGCAAGATTTGGAAAATTTTTTCAATACACTGCCTGCAACTTCTGATTTGTTAGAAGCAACATTGGGTTGTGTTGCAGCCAAATCTTTACAATCAGCACAAATATTACAACAAATATCTCTAATTGATTGGAATATAAATGAAATACCTTCTGAACATTCAAATTATGTTTACAGCATTTTAAAAGTTTTTAATTTATTTTTTATTTTTAATCTATTTTTTAAGGAGTTTGAGTCCACTAAAGAAATTCTTTGTAAATTATCTGTGTATGTACATATCAGTGAGGAAGTTAATTTTATGATTTGGTCGATGATGTCGATGTGTACAGTGCGACTTCTTGTACGAGGGTAAATATTTATAAAATAAAAATTATTTTTGTGGAAATATGGCCGTAGTTTTTTGACTTTGTAAATATTACAGTTAATTATAAACATGAGAAAATATACCTTAAATTATAAAAAAAAGTCAAAAAACTACTTTTGATCTCATAATTTCTAGTTAAATACAAAATTTCTCACGGAATTATTATTATTAGAAATTAATAATTTACCCATTAAATATCAACAACTATTGACTTTAATTCTTATATTTTGTTTTTAGTTATTCTGAATCCAATAAATGTAGTAATGAAGGAAGAGCTCTTCAATTAATGGATGTTGAGCATTTATTCAAAAAATTAGAAGAACTTATAGGCTTCAGGCCATTCCCGCATCGTCTTTACGTTGAAAACTACGTAAAAGCCTTCTTTTTGCCTAGCGATGAGTTGAACGAATGGATTGTTAGGCATACGGTTAATTAATAAAATTTAATTTTTTTTTGTAACTTTTTTCCTCAGGAATACACTTTAAGTCAAACTGGTGCTCTTTTAAACGCTTCTATTTCCAATGCTCCTTCGGCAACAAAGAAAGCAGTTACAATGTCAAGAATAATGGTTAACTTGCTTGATGCAAGTGGAATAAGTGATGGCAGCAATTCTTTTTTTCATTAAATTATAATAAAAATAATTTGTTTTTAAAGTTTTTTTTTGCATTTTACTAATATTTATGGGCATAATTATTCAAATTTTTATGGTCTCTAACACGCATTTTTCCTACTCATTGTGATTATTTTTCATAATTTTATCTTAAAACATTCCTATGTTTGTGATAAAAATTTTTATTTGAATAAAAGGTTAAAAATTTTTTGTGTTAGTAGTTAAAGGTTGTTAAGTGTTGATTTTGATTTATTTTTTATATTTTACAAAATTCTGTCAAAAATTTTAATGATTCATTTTAGGAACAAAATCAAATTAAAATGTTATTGCTAGTTGGTTTAACTGGAGGAATTGGGACAGGCAAAAGTGCAGTTACTAATATTTTAAGAAAGAAAAATTATACAGTTATTGATACAGACAAAATAGCAAGAGCAGGTTATTAAAAATATTTATAGAAAATATACATAATTTTTATTTAAATTTTTAGTTGTTGAACCAGGGAAAAAAGCTCACAAAAGGATAAAAGAAGAATTTGGAATTGAATATTTTAAGGATGATGATCAACTCGACAGAATAAAATTAGGAACAAAAGTATTTGCTGATAGTGAGGTTAGCCTTATTTTTAATAAAACTGATTTGAGATAAAAATTAAAATTCGACATTCAAATACTCCTTAATTAAAAAGAAATCTAAATGTCGAATAAAACTTGAGTTTTTCCATTAAAACCTTTGTTAGCATTTTTTAAATTCTTTTAATTCAATTTAAACTTTAGATGCGAAGGAAATTGAATGAAATTACCCACCCAGAGATTATTAAAGAAGTTTTTCGTGAAATTATGTTTTCCATCCTAAAATTAAACAAAATTGTATTTTTGGATGTTCCTCTTCTTTATGAAACTAAAATGCAAAAATTTGTTTGTAAAGTTGTTGTTACTAGTTGGTAAATAAATAAATAGTATTCTTTTTTATATTAAAGTAGACTTTTTAGTACTGAAGATATTCAAATGCAACGAATTATTGAAAGGGATGGATTAACAGAGAATGACGCCAAACAAAGAATCAATGCACAAATGTCAATGAAGGAGAAGGTCAAACGCGCGGATTTTGTTATTCTGAATAATGGTAAGTACTTATTAAAAAATATAAACTAATTTATCTTTACTCCAAACGTCCATTCACATAGAACGCTTGGAAATTTTTTAAAACTCCCTCATACTTCTTGAATCATCCGAATAAAATGGTTTTTTTCCACACTGAAAAATTTAAACTTTTTAGGAACTATCGATGATTTAGAAAGAGAAGTTAATGACATGCTTCGCAAAACCGAATGGGAATGGTCTAAATTTTTATTTAAATTTTGTCTTTCATCTGCAATTTTTGTTTTAACTTCACTAATACTTTTAAATTACTTTAAATTTATATAAAGTGGAATTTAAAATTTTGGACAGATTTTAAATTAATTTCTCATATTTTAACTTATTTTTTATATTTCCATTTTTTATTAATTACTCTTAATTTTATCTTAATTTTAAGGTAATTTTAGATTTATTATTTTTTTGTATATTTTCTTTTGACTTTATGGCACTTCTCTTAAATTAAAATTATGAATCGTAAGATTTCTTCAATAAATAATTTTTTAAATTTATTTTTTTAGATTGCATTCCAAACCGTCGTTTAAGGCCTTTCGCAAACGTTGTTAATAGCGGGTTCGTTGTGACTTCTCCTCTAGCTGGCGAATATGTCCATTATGTTTTTTGTGATAAAAATAGCCCTCTATTTAAAATGCCAATTAAATTGTATAGAATTTTCTGAATTATTTTAAAATTTTTAAAAGTTAGATTTCGATGCTCAGAATATATTGGAATGAAAAATACCGAAATAATTCGTCGTGAACGTACTCTTGAATTTGGTGATGGAATTTATTTTACTTCTGACAATCGAGGGGTGGTTTTAGATTATGAAAAATCAATGAAGGTTTATGAAACAAATTGTAATTATGATAAAAATTTGGTAGGAATTCTTTGGAAAGAAGTCTTAAAATTTTTTTTGAAGATTAAAACAATTTGTGTTTTACCTCCATTTGGGCACGCAATGAAAATTTGGTCGGAACTTTTTGGGAATATTCAACTTTCAAAGGAAAAATGGAATGAAGCAAATTTACAGGTTTTTAAATAAATAAACAATTTTTAAAATAAATTTAGGCAAATAATGATGTTCCAATATTTACTTGGATTTCAATTCAAATCGACACTGTCAGGTTAAAATTGGTACCGGAATTTGACGAATTTATTGAAGTTGCTGTTGATGAAAGAAAAATTGCTTGGGAAACAGTATTTTTGATTAAATTAATTTTTAAATAAAATTTCTTTTAAAGGATTGGAATGAACAAAAAACAAATCCAAATACAAGTAAATATACTTGGGATACAACTGATGACGAAGAAGATATAAAAAATGTTATTGTTGAAAAGAAGGAAGGAGAAGTTTTGGATGTAAGGGAATTTTCGAAAAATTTTTAATAAAAATATTTTTAAGGTAAAACTTAAATTGGAAGGTTATTTAATTGGAAGAAGAGAATTATTTTGTCCAGAACTTCGTCATAATCGAGTAAATATTGGTCTATGGGAAAAACATTTGAGTAAATTTGAAAATCTTCCTTTGGGGTCTAAATTTCGTTTTGATGCTTATTTCAATGATATTCTACAAATTTATATTGTAAATTTTTCTGAATATTTTTTAAAATCAACTAATTACTTTAAAATTAAATAGGCATATTATTATGAAGATATTACTACTGATGAAGTTTGTTGGGTTGATATGGATGAAGATGAACCAGAAAAGACTACAGTTTTTTAAAAATAAATTTATTTTTTTAAATTAATTTTTAGATTCAACTTCGTCTATTTCCTTCAGATACTTTTGGTCAACTTTACAACAATCCAGAATTTGGTTTAATTTTTGACCCAAAAAAGTTGTTAAGTCCTTTAACTTATCTTTTTGCTGAATTGGAGGTTGATGAAGTTTGGTAAAAATTTTATAAAAAAATTTTATTTTGAGAAAATATTAATTTAGGGTTAATGTAATCGATACTGGACCTGATACGAAGAAAATTTGTAGATTTGTAATGATAGATGACCAACCTGCTTGTACTCGTGATGTGATCCAAGCAGCTAAAGATATGGCTGAAAAAGTGAGAATTATTTTAGAATTATTTTTTAAATATTTTTTTATATTTCAGTCAGCAAACAATATTATCGATGAAGGATTTATTATAGATTCAAAAGGAACATTTTTTTCACCAAGGAATGCTACTTTAAATTTTGAGTTTCCGGAGAGCGAGAGGGACAACTTTCCCGTCGGTCATTGGACAAGATTTGAAGCTAAATATGATTCTGTTACAAATAAATATTTTATAATTGGGGGAGAATTAATTCTTGAAAAGAGAATGGTGCCAAATAGTTTAATTGAATATTCTACTGTGGATAATGTAAAAATGAATAAATATCAGGTATGCTTTGTGAATAAATATATTTCGGCAGTCTATAAACAATTTTTATTGTTATTGAAGGATTTATTTAAAAATCGTCTTATTTTCTTTTTTTTTAAAGTTCAAAATTGATGCAGAATTAATTTCAAGTCATTCAAATATTTTTGTTACTGGATATCTTTACAATCCATTATATGGATTAATTGCCGATCCAGATTCTCAATTTGTTAAGAAAAAGCGTGTAAAATGTTATAAGATAATTGTTGAATTTGAAGAAGCTGATGTAAATTCCCAATCTTTAGTTAAATTAATTAGAATGGCTAAACCAAATGAGTTAATGGATGTTTGTTTTTTTTTAATTAAAAAAATATTTTTTTTTATTTTTTAGTCTGATAAACGAGCAAAAAATTCAGTTATTCCATTTAGTAATAATGCAGATGATTCTGAAGAAGAAATTGGTTTGGAAGATCCTGAAGAAATGGAAGAAGATGAAGGCCCAATTTCACAAGTCTTTTAAAAAATTTAGAAATTAATTTTTGTTAATTTTTTAGGTTGATTATCTTTCAAAATGTGCAATTAGAGAACGTAAAATGCTTGCAAGAGAGAGAAAACGTGCCCGACTTAAACAGGAAAAACAAATTTTGGAGCAACAAAAACAACTTCTTGAAGAGTCTAAACTTTAGTGTGAGAATGAGATTTTTTTAGTTTTTAATTTATTCTTAATTTATTATTAGTTTTAAAAGTTAAGGGAAATATTCTAAATACTAAGTATATAGTAGAGCTTTTTGTAATTAATTAATTGCCATGTTTTGTTTTTATTTTTAAACATTCCATAATTAACTAAATAAATAGAATTTTAACTGATTTTCCATCTTTAAAAACAGGATTTTGTGTATACCTAATATTAAACTATAAAATATTGCTTTTATCCACCAATTTTGTTAAATATAAAAATTTTGGATATTTTTTAAGGAAAGGGGATAGGAGGAGGGGTTTTTACAAAAATTTAGCAAAATATTAAATACTTAAAAGAAACAATTTAAAATTCCACATTCTTTAATTACAATATAAACTTGTTCTATAGCTTCTTTTGAAAAAAAATCTTGTAAATCATAAGCACGTAAAAGTGCATATTTATTAGATTTACAAACTTGGCAAAATCCACAATCTAAATAACATTTTGGATGACTGTGAAAGCCTTCTTCTTTTATTAATTCGCAATTAATATCTCCAGCTCTCTTCTAAATAATTAAAAATAAAAGATGTTTTGATTGCTGTAAAACCTCTAAATAAAGCTCCATATTATTAATTAAGCATTTTCCAGTACAATTAATAAATTGTTTTCCAAGTTCATCAAATCTTTCATATATTTCTAAAATTTAATTTAATTTTAGTTAATTAAAATCTCTGTGGAAGTATACCAGGCTTGTAAAAGTTTTTGCAATTTTTTTCTCCATAAGCAATTAAATAGCCATTAGGGCCACAATGAGCAATATCATCTTCCATACATTTATATGCATTGCAACCTTCACATCTTCCTAATTCTTCAGAATTATTAATAAAATAGAATAAAAATAAATTTAAAAATATTAAAATATTCATTTTTGATTATCTATTGATTGCTTATAAATAGTTATTATTTTGTATACAGCAGTTTGTTTTTAATATGTTGTTGGAAATTGTAATACAAGACATTAGTTATTATACATTATTTATTATCATAAAGGTATTAATTATCACATTATTAAAAGTAAATATTTTATATATTTTTTTAAATGGAAAGATTTAATCTATATAAAATAATGTTTAAACAGGTTGTAATTAAAATAAAATTTCAACTTTAAAGATAATTGGAAAAAAATTTTTTGAAAAATAATTTATTTAACAAAATATTTTTTAAGCTTAAATTAATTAAAAATATTTTTATATTTACTTTAAAAATTTCATAAAGCCCCCCTCCCCTATTGTTTTTCATTCATCTCAATGTTTGCAAATTTAAATTCAAATAAATATTCCGATCGCAACGTCCAAAAAATGTAAAACAAACATCAAAAACACAAAGAGTCTGGCCGAGTGTGGATATAAAGAAAAAGAGAGAGGTCACTTCCCTAATATCTCTTAACCTCTAGACAGCCGATTGACCTAATCCCCCAAAAAATGTACGTGGATATTATTTACTATTTTTTATGCAAACAAAAGACGATGAAAAAATAGGTGAAGGAAAATTGATGGACAAAATACAAAATTATTTGTTATAAAATATTTATTTAAAATATTCGAGGAAAGACTGTTCTCAATACATATTTTTAAAAAAATAATTATTAAAATATCAAAAAGTTTTTTTATTTCTGTAAATGTTGAGCACAGATGATGATTGTAAATACTTGGAGGCTACATGCTCCAAAAATGAACAACGAAAAGGATTGGCAAATAACCGGTAAGAATATATAATTTAAATTTGATTAAATAATCTCTCTCTCTCTCTTGAAGAGAGATTTTAATTGTTGAAAATTTATGCCATTAAAATAGTAAAATTAATTCTTTCCTTCTATTACACAATACTTTTTCAAATTTATTTTTTTTTCTTTTTAAAGTATATCTACAAGAGGTGCCTCAAAATTAAGAAGAGACCAAATAAATAATGAATTAACTGAAATTCGAAATATTTTACCTTTAAACACTTCAATTAAACAAAATCTTTTTCAACTACAAGTATTATCTTTAAGTTGTACATTTATTAGATGTCATCATTATTTTCGACTTTTTAATGTGACTTTAAAGTTAATTGTCATTTAAAAATTTAAATTGTATTTTAGAAGAATTTAAATAAAAGTTCCTCAATTTCGTCAATTTTTAATTCTACAATAATTAATGCTGCATTAAATGAACATTTTTTGCTTGCAATTAATGAAGAAGGAAAGTTGTTGGGTTTGAGTGATAATTTTAGTCATGATATAGAGCCAATTTCAACGGTAAGAAGGAGCTACATAAATATCTTCAAATTCCGAATTTTCTAAAAAAGATTGAATGGATGGCTCAGAGTGACTCTCTGTTTGACTTAATAGATATAAGGGATCACCAGTTATTACAAGAAAATCTTTTTAACGAAAATGGACTAGAAAGAATATCTCAAAGCGACGAAATTACATTTGTGTGTCGTTGGAGGCCACCAAAATTGGGTGGAGTTACAAAAAGGCAGCCTGATTGGAATGGAAAAGTTTTTGAATTATTAAATACTTTTAATTTTTTTAAAATTTTAGCCAACAATTGTTAACGGGTATTTTATTTCATTTCAAAATGACAACAAAAGAATGTTTGTTGGATTTTGCCGTCCACTTTTATTCAGCAAAAGTTGCTTCAACAGAAATTACAACGATCCTTCAATAATGAAATTTTGGATGGATAAAAAGTTAAGGATAGAGGTTTTATGCCAAAAGTAAGCTTTTTAAGGGATTTATGAAAGCAAAGCCAATCAGTAAAAATTATTGGAAGGCTATCGGAAGGACAACGATAAAATGTCAATAAGGGATAGTAAGACAGAAACTTAGAACCTATTAAAATAAGTCTAAAAAACTAAAAAGCAAAACAAATTTTTAAACATTTTATTTATCAATACAACAAAATATACATACAAGTTTACAATATATACATACATTTGTGAACAAAAACAACAATGAGGGCAATAATATCACAATATCAAAAGGGTTACAATTATCGACATGTGTGGGGCTACAATTATCGGCATACATCTATGACCTATTTCCTCGTTCCTTCAGTCCTGTGCGAACGCGGCACCTAGTCTTCGTCTCCCGTAGCCAACACATCTTCGTCGTTGTCCAGAGTAGAGGTGAGTTGCAGCTCCGAGCCATTCTACAAAAAAAGGAAAAAAATTATTTGACGTTAGAGAAAGGCAAAAACGATTGCCTTGATTCCGAGGTTCCCAACCTTCTTGTCATTAGCCAGCGCCTGCTTCTGATGTGTCAGAATTTGCTGCGCGGGAGGCATCTTCTTCACCTTCTTGATCTTATCCTTCAGAACTGCCACGGTGTCGCTCTCACCGACCTCCACGCTGAACTTTTCCCCTTTGAGTTCCATATCCTGGATTCTGCCATCACTCATGCAGGTGAAGTGGCCAGTACCCACAACCATGATCTTCAGCCCACCACGAAGACGAAGCACCAAATGCAGAGTAGATTCCTTCTTAAAAATGGGGGAATTAATTAGCTAAAAATGAATGAGATTAAATTAATTAAACACCTGAATATTGTAGTCGGCTAACGTACGACCATCCTCCAATTGCTTCCCTGCGAAGATGAGACGTTGCTGCTCTGGGGGGATCCCCTCCTTCTCCTGGATCTTGGCCTTGACATTTTCGATGGTGTCCGACTGCTCGACGTCCAAGGTGATCGTCTTCCCTGTGAGCGTTTTGACAAAGACTTGCATGGCGGCGGCAGCAAACGTTGAGCACGAAGAACAGAGACAAGTTGTTGATAATTTGAAGGGCGTGGTTACACAGTCAAAAAAGTACCGGCTTTTATATTATCGTTTTTACGAGTTATCCAAACTAAATTCAATAATGTTCGGTGGTATATAAGTAGTTATGCTTATTGTAGTATAAAAGCCAATTTTGGAGATAAATGAAAGCTAATCGCCGAAATCTTGAATTAAGGATTCGAGTTCTAAATTTAAGTTTCGGGTTCTAGAGGATTCGAGGTCCACTTTGTTTCTTAAATGAAAAAAAAAGTAAAATTAATATTTAATCAGTTTTTTTCTTGAGAATTTACATAATCACAAAAATATATCAAAACAATTCTTTGGAATACATACATTTTTTCAAAAAATTCTAAATAATTTAGTGCACATTCTTTACTTTTTGGTCAATATTGCCAGATTAAACCTTTAAATGGAAATCTTCCTTCATTTTATAATTTTGTTCATCCGTAAATATTTTAATTTATTTAATTTTTAAAATTAAATTTTAGACTTTTTCTCAATTCCTTAGTTCAATTACACAAACAATGTAAATAAAAATATATTTAAAATAAAAAAAAATAATAATTTTTAAAGTATTAGAGCCAAAAACATTTAAAAATGTTTATCGTTTATTATTGCCGCTTTTATGTCCAAATTATTCTGTTCAATTTTGTCATTTTATATTTATTCAAAATGAAAATTTAATTGAAGGAATATGTCAACAAATAAAGTTTTTTAAAAATAATTTTAAAAATAATTTAAATTTATTTATTTTAAAGTCAAGTAGAAATGTTAGCATTACAACAAACTAATTGGATATATAATAACAATGAAAATCAAAATAATATTGAAATAATACAAAAAAGAAAAGCTGAAACTTTTAATTTAAAAATAAATAAATTAAATAAAAAAGTAAGGGGAAAAGAAATTAAAAATTATTTAAATTTAAATTAAAAAAGGATTTAAATAACAACAATATTTTTACTAATTTTGAATGGGAGTCAAGAAAAGAAGAACCTTTTGATGAATTACCGTCTTTGTCAATACTTCCAGAATTGGATGATAAAGATTTGGATGAATTTTTTAGACTTGTAGAACAATAGAAAAAATAATTTATTAAATTTTTTGTTTAGTAAATGTATATTTTTGAGAAAAAAATATTTGAAATCAAAATTTTCTAAAAATATACATATTTAACAATCTTTTTAAAATAATACCTATTTTATTTATTTATAGAAACAAACAAAAAAAATAAATAGTAAAAGCACAACTGTCACAATTCAAAAATAATAATCAAATAAGCGCCTACTCAGATCAATGAAATAAAATAGCAGAACCAATTTTAGCAACTTAAATTATAAACAATCTCTATTAAAAGAAAAAAAGATTATTTTAAATAAATTCTTTTTAAAAAAATTCCAAAATATTATTTTTCTATTAAATAGGTATTGACAAATTTAATAAAAGGGTTTCTTTTTTCTAAATTAATCTTTTAAAAATATTCAAAAAAATATGTATTTTTTTTTATTTCCCTTAAAATGTCATTTTTATCGCCTACTCATTTTTTTCAAATCTTAAAATATTACTACTACGACCATCTTCTCACGCCTACATCATTTTCAATTACTAAAGCTACATATATCAATTTCCTCAAAAATAACCAAAATGTTGAATGTGGAGGCGTTTACTACAAAAAATAAATAAAAGCAACAATTTTTTTTTAAAAATTGCATTGAAGGGTGTAGTAAAAAATATTTAATTCCGAATAATTACTTAAAAGTTAACAGTTCAAAAATCTGAAAATATTAGTAGTAATCGAATATTTTTATTGTTTTTTTAGTTTTAAAATTTCCTTATTTAAAATCAAATCCTCTCTTCTTAATCTGTTTCCAGCTCTCGCTTAAATTTTTTCCATATTTTTATTGTAATGTAGAAATCATGACTTTTTTTGTTCTTCATTAATTTTGGGAAATTTTCCCCTTTTAATAATAATCTTTTAATTAGTAAATTTCAATACATATTCGAGCACGTGTTAAAATAATTAAAATTTCCCTAAAGGAGAATTTTTATCACAAAAATGTGTCAGAAGAAATAAAACAGTAAAAAATAAGTGGTTATATGTACATATTAGTTAATGCGTAGGAGGACAAGAAGGAGATGATGATGAGGAGAACGTAGTCTAGAAAAAAAAAGAAAAAATATATAAAATAAAACCAGCGTTCGGCGCGAATTGCTGAGTAGTTTTAATAGCTTTTGGGTATAAAGGCTGACTCCAGCGTTATTAAAACGCATTTAAATTAATTTGGATCAATTTCCCAGACTTTGAAAACTTCAGACTCAAATGTCCATTCTCAGACTCAAGTGACACCTTTGAAAATATTGTCATTCAACTCCTCATTCAATTCCCTATCGAACGACACCTCAACCATCTTTCTACGACTAATACTTCAAAAGTTATAAATTTTTAAATTTATGTCACAGAACAACATGCGGGCCTTCGGCCCGCATGTTTTCTGCAACGCGTTCCGAATTAAAAAAGTAATTTTATTTTCTGGCGGTTGCCTCCGGCAACGCCTCTTCTGCAACGCGTTCCGTATTTTTTAAAAAAATAATTTTTAATTCCGGCGGTTGCCTCCGGCAACGCTTCTTCTGCAACGCGTTACGAATTTTTAAAAGAATAATACAAAATTCTGGCGGTGCCTCCGGCAACGCCTCTTCTGCAACGCGTTCCGAAATTAAAAAATAATTTTTAATTCTGGCGGTTGCCTCCGGCAACGCGTCTTCTGCAACGCGTTCCGAAATTAAAAAATAATTTTTAATTCTGGCGGTTGCCTCCGGCAACGCGTTATCTGCAACGCGCTCTGAATTTTTAAAAAATAATTTTTATTTCTGGCGGTTGCCTCCGGCAACGCGTTATCTGCAACGATTCCGAATTTTTTTAAAAATAATTTTAAGTCTGGCGGGTGCCTCCGGCAACGCTTTTCTGTTACGCGTTCCGATTTCTTAAAAAATAATTTTAAATTTCTGGCGGTTGCCTCATGCAACGCGTTCAAGACATCGCGATACAACATTAAAAATATTTTTCATAAAAGTATTAAAACTTAGCATTTTTACAAGATTTTCAGTGCCAGACTCAAATATAAAAATGAGACTCAAGTGTCCTTTTTATTAAAAATTCATTTTTTAATATTCTTTTAATTTTTAGAATTTTTAAAATTCATTTCCACTGATTTTAACCTTCAGACTCAAATATCCCACTCTCAGACTCAAGTGACCCCTTCAAAAATATTTTTAAAAAATTCGCCTGATTTTTCCACGTTGAATGACACCTCAATCATATTTTTCCGATAATTACTTCAAAGGTTACAAAAAACAGCTCAGCGTTGCTTAACTTTCCAGATCGGACGGTCTAGATCGTCAAAATTGAAAATTTTTTCCCAAAATTTTAATTTCTTAAAAAATTCATAACTTTTTCAAAAAAAGTCGCAAAATCATAAATCAAAGCTTATTCGATGCAGAATTTAATTCTCTATCTTCCATCTTCCAATACTTTTTAGCTATCTTCAAAACAAAATATAGTTAATGTCACTATAAACAACCTCATCAAAATTTCACTTTTTACTCCATATCTTTTTTTCCTTTAATCCAATCAACTTGAAACCAACTTTTTCCTTAAGAAACCCACTACGCTCTACAACTTTTCTCCCAACCACTTTTTGCTCAAACCCCTCTAAATACCCTAAATTCAAAGTTACCACTTTGACATAAATTCTTGTGGACAGCACATCTACCCTTCCCGTTGTCCGTTCGACTTCAACTCTTTTTCTATCATATTCTCCATATAGTGTAGATTTAACCTTGTAACTGACTCAACTTCCCCCGACTTCGTCTTCATATTCAAATTTCGATTCAAAGTTTTGAAATTTCATGTTTTTTCATAATATCTCATTTTTTCGCTTCTTTCCCCCAACTTTTCGGATTTTTCCTGAAAACTACATTGTATTGCGCATCTATTACTTTTTTCCCCACCCCTCTACGACTTCTCAAAAGTCTGAAGGACTTTTTTTTAGCTGACTGCCTTTTTACTATTATATATAGATAACCAGCGTTCGGCGCGAATAGCTGAGTAGTTTTAATAGCTTTTGGGTATAAAGGCTGACTCCAGCGTTATTACAACTGATTTAAATTAATTTGGATCAATTTCCCAGTATTTGAAAACTTCAGACTCAAATGTCCATTCTCAGACTCAAATGACACCTTAGAAAATATTTTGATTCAACTCCTCATTCAATTCCCAATCGAATGACACCTCAACCATCTTTCTACGACTAATACTTCAAAAGTTATAAAATTTTAAATTTAAGCAAAAATCGACATGCGGGCATCGGCCCGCATGTTTTCTGCAACGCGTTCCGATTTCTTAAAAAATATTTCTTAATTTCTGGCGGTTGCCTCCGGCAACGCGTTTTCTGCAACGCGTTCCGTATTTTTAAAAAATATTTTTATTTTCTGGCGGTTGCCTCCGGCAACGCGTTTCTGCAACGCGTTCCGTATTTTTAAAAAATATCTTTATTTTCTGGCGGTTGCCTCCGGCAACGCGTTTCTGCAACGCGTTCCGTATTTTTAAAAAATATTTTTATTTTCTGGCGGTTGCCTCCGGCAACGCGTTTCTGCAACGCGTTCCGTATTTTTAAAAAATATTTTTATTTTCTGGCGGTTGCTTCCGGAACGAGTTTTCTGCAACGCGTTCCGTATTTTTAAAAAATATCTTTATTTTCTGGCGGTTGCCTCCGGCAACGCGTTTTCTGCAACGCTTTCCGATTTCTTCAAAAAATAATTTTTAAGTCTGGCGGTTGCCTCCGTCAACGCGTTCAAGGCATCGCGAATAACATTAAAATTATTTTTCAGAAAAGTATTAAAAATTAGCATTTTTACAAAATTTTCAGTCCCAGACTCAAATTTAAAAATGA